CCCAAGAGTAGCAGAGACCTCTGCCCATATTTTCCCTGGAGCCAAGCCTTTGTTTTAGCTCCTGATGAAAAACAGGTTTAACCAGCCACCTTAAGGGCGCCATTGTATCTTTGGAATGTAAAATCATTGAAATGTAAACTACTACCACTAGCCCCCTTAAACTGCTTCCTGAGCAGGATGTTTCCTTTCTGTCTTCCCCTTTGTTTCTTTCTGCTGAGATAAGGTAAATGTAAACAAGACAAAAGGTATAAAAGCTGTAACCCACAAAAATAAATTTGCTGCGTTTTGGCCATAATCTTCACGCAGCCCTCCAGACTCTACTTTTCTATATTCTTTCTTTTCCGCGCACTCTCTCTCTCAGGTTGAACGAGACATCTACGTTGGCGGTCTCGGGGACTCCCGCAGGTCGGTAGTCCCCTGGCAGATGTGTCGGACCCCGACACCCGGACTTGCTTTGAGATTGGTGGCAGTGGTGGGGAAGGGCTGTGGGATACAGAGGTCAGCTTGCTGCATGAGCAGCTCCCTCACGAGGGACAGAGTGGGAAGATACTGAGCAAGAGTGGAGGTACCTGTGGAGAGAGGAGTCAGACCAAAGGGCCTGTCGTGCATTGACTCAAAGGGACTGAGGCCTGTAGATTTTCAAGGGGCTGCCCTACGGCAGGTTAGGGCTGGGGGCAGGAGTTGGGTCCAGGGGAGCTGTCGTTCTGCAGTGAGTTTACTGAGGTGGTTTGCTTTTTCAACCTTGCCGGAGGATTTGGCCTGTAGGGAACGTGTAGGTTCCATTTGATATTTAAGGATTAGGCTGTGAGCTGGGTTATTTGAGAGATGAATGCAGGGCCATTGTCAGATTCTAGGCTGCTTGGAAGGCCAAATCGGGGAATGGTTTCTGAAATGAAGGCTTGTGTGATGGCTGCTGCGTCTTCCATAGATGAGGGAAAGGCCTCGATCCATCCCGAGAAAGTGTCCATGAGAGTGAGGAGGTACTTTAACCTTTTGTGGGGAGGCATGTGGGTGAAGTCCATCTGCCAGTCCTGTCCTGAGATATGTCCCCTGGCCTGATGGGTGCGGAAAGAGCAGACTTGGAGACCTCCCTCAGTAGAGGAGCGTGCACACGAAGGGCAATTGTGTGTGATGTTTTTTATGTGTTAGCTCAGGTGGGGATGGTAGTAGACTGTTTGGAAAACTCTGCCCCTACCGCAAAATCTCTCTCTCTTTCCCTCCCCCACAAAGAGGCTCCCTTATCTCTCACTTTACATACCGGTCCTAGCCCTCCCGCCGCCCAGCTTCCCGCCGCCCAGCTTCCCACCCAGCAGTTCAAACTGACCAACAGTTGCCCACCACCTCGGCTTTTGGCTTCCCCACCCCCCAGCCCTTCAGCCCCCTATAAAACAACCCTGCCCCTCTGAGCAGCGCGGCCATTTTTCCTTTTCGTCCTGGCTGGCCTGCCCGGAGGCTCTTTCCTCTCAATAAAGCCTGAACTTAAGGAATTTCCTCTAGCCTGCGGTCCGGTTTTTTCCAAACCAGCTCAGTCTTCCCGCAGAGGGTAGGTCGGACAAATGGTGCCGAAACCCGGGAGCTGGGGCCGTTGGCCTGGCCATGGCCCCCCTCCCCGACCTACCCAACACTGGCCCTACCACCTCCACGTTCCGATTAAGGTAAGCCAAGTTTTTCTTGCTTTGCCTTCCCCCGCTTCCCGTCTTCCCTTCCTACGGCATGGTGCAGTTGCTCCCTCTCCGGCGTTCCGCACGGACTCCTTGCCTAGTCTCGGCCGAGCCAAGGTAGTCTTCCATTCCGGCTCCAGGAGCCTTCCGAGGGACAGCCGCCAGACGGGGGACGCCCCTCTGACCGCTTCCCTTTCCGTACTTAATTGTACTCCGGGGAATTTGCAACGAACGGGGACGCCTTTTCGTTGCATCTGCCCATCCGCGCCGGAGAGTCTGTAGCTGTGCCTGCCATGGGAAATTCGGAGTCCAAAATACCTCTGAGCACCCCCCTCGGGTGCTTGCTGCGAAATTTTACCAAATTGGGATATTCCCAAACCCTCAGAAAGAAAAAGCTTATTTTCCTGTCCCAGGTGGCTTGGCCCCAATACAAACTCAGTAACCAGTCACATTGGCCCCCGACTGGCACTTTTGATTTCAACACCCTCCGAGATCTCGACGATTTTTGTTGCCGCGCGGGCAAGGACAATGAAATTCCTTACGTCCAGGCTCTTTGGGACCTCCGTACCCACCCCAACCTATGTTCCTCCTGCTCCACCTACCAAATCCTCTTATCTCGAACCCCCCGTAAATCTTCCTCCACTACCTCTCCCCCTCCCTACTCCTCACCGGAGGATCTGCCTGAACATCTGTCCTCTCCTGCCAATCTCAGCAACCACTCGCCATCAACGGCACGCCCTTCCCCCACTCCCTCTGCACCTCCTACCTCAGAGGCCATGCTTCGCTCTCCCTCTACTCCCTCCGAGCCCCCTCCCTCAGAGGCTGCACTTCCTCTTGCCTCTCCGGTGGCGGCCCACACCCGCTCCCACCAGCCAGCTATCCTGGCCCCACTCCGAGAAGTAGCAGGTGCAGAAGGTTTAATCAGGGTCCATGTTCCTTTCTCACTCCAAGACCTGTCCCAAATTGAGAAACGTTTAGGATCCTTCTCAGCCAACCCGTCCACCTATATTAAAGAATTCCAATACCTCACTCAAACATAAGAAGCCCTAGTCCGGTACACTCGACTAGATCCAGCCTCCCAAAATGGGGCCACTGTATTAGCCTCCCATTTTATCTCCCAATCAGCACCCGACATAAGAAAGAAACTAAAGAAAGCAGAAGAGGGGCCAGAGACTCCCATCCAAGACCTGGTAAAAATGGCCTTTAAAGTATTCAATGCCAGGGAAGATGCGGCTGAGGCTGCCCGCCAAACTCGCATGAAGCAGAAGGCTGCCCTCCAGACCCAAGCCCTAGTGGCGGCTCTAAGGCCAGCAGGGAACCAAGAAGCCCAAGGCCAAAACCCATGCCCCTCCAGGGGCATGTTTCAAATGTGGAAAGGAAGGACACTGGTCCCGAGCCTGTCCACAACCATGGCCACCAACTAAGCCTTGCCCTATCTGTCGGCTCCCGGGACACTGGAAGTCAGACTGCCCCAGCTTCCCCAGGGTGCCGGTTCCTCAAAACAGACACACTGGCGTTACGCAGCCGGCGGTCACCCTCAGTAGGGAGGAGCCTGCTTGCCAGGAGCTGACCTCCGAGGGAGCTCCGTTCCCCAGTCTACTAGGGCTGCTAGATGACTAGCGGGGCCCTGGCTTTCTGACTCCGGTTACCCTCGCCGAGCCTAGGGTCACAAGACATGGGGGCTACCTACTCCGCACTTCCTTCTTATTCTGGCCATCTCACCCCTTCCCAGGTCTTAGTCATGGGAATCGATGGGACCCCCGAGTATCCCCTATCAAACCCCACCACTCATGTGCTCATGTAACTCCACACCCTTCACCCACTCCTTTTTAGTAATCCCCACCTGCCCAGTTCCCCTTCTGGGGTGAGACATCCTTTCAAAGCTGAAGGCCGTCATAACCTTCCCCACCGCCAGCCCACACAGCCTTTTTCTCCTAGCCCTCAATACTCTGCCTCAGAACTCCAGACCCTCCAGTCTACTTCCGGGGTACAGTTCAAGGATGACTGGGCCTTCAAGCATAACCTCCTCATCCTCCCTGAAAAGCAAAGGTACCAGATAATCCAAGACATCCACAATTCACTCTACATTGGGCCTAAAGCCTTATACCGATTCCTCAACCCACTTTTTCACCCTCACCATCTCCTCAGTACCATACAGGAAGTCCAGTCCTCATGTACTGTCTGCGCGAAAACTAATTCCCAGGGTTCCTGTCATCCCCGGCGCCAGCTTCATCAGCTACGCGGGTTCCTACCTGGCCAAGACTGGCAAATTGATTTCACCCATATGCCAAAGCACAAACAGTACCGGTATCTGCTAACCATTGTTGACACTTTTTCAGGCTGGATTGAAGCTTACCCCACAGCCTCTGAGTCTGCCGGGACAGTAGCCACTCATCTCATTCAAGACATCATCCCACGCTTTGGACTCCCAGCTACCATACAGTCAGACAACGGCCTAGCCTTTATCTCCAAAGTCACTAATGCCGTTTCTACCTCTCTAGGAATTCAGTAGAAGCTACATGCCGCCTACCATCCCCAGTCCTCTGGTAAGGTGGAACGGGCCAATGGCCTAATAAAGGAGCATCTGACTAAGCTCATGCTTGAGCTCCGCCAATCCTGGGTAACCTTACTTCCTATCGCCCTCACCAGAGTAAGAGCAAGCCCCCGGGGCCCATCACAGCTTAGCCCATTTGAGCTGCTGTATGGTTGCCCCTTCCTACTTTCAACTCCCCCACCGCCAGAGACTACTCCTCTAGACAGCTACCTCCCCTACTTTACTCTCCTTCGCAGCCTTCTCCGAGAACACGCCAACGCTTCTCTTCCCCAACCCACCCAGCCATCTGAAAATACACAGAAAGTCCTCCCGGTAACCCTAGTCCCTCGACTCACTATATATTCCCCAGCCGAATTCCAGATGCTGCAAACTCCCCATCACTGCACCCGATGAGCTGCCTTCCTACCCATTGCCGTTGGAGTCTCCCTTGCTGGTTCAGCACTTGCAGCAGGATTAGGAGGAGGGGCACTAGTCCACTCTCACCTGGCCATAGCCCGACTGACCTCACAACTCCAAGCGGCTATTAATGACTCTACTGAGTCTTTAGCATCACTCCAATGACAGATCACCTCAGTTGCCCAAGTTGCCTTGCAGAACCGAAGAGCCCTGGACCTGCTCACTGCTGAACGAGGAGGGACCTGTATCTTCCTACAAGAAGAGTGCTGTTACTACATCAATGAATCCGGCCTAGTAGAAACCCGAATCGAGAGCCTCCAGAAACTCAAAACTAACCTGTAGAGTCAGAAGTTCTCGGCTGAAGCCACAGCGTGGTGGTCTCCCTCTATGTATACCCTCTTGTCCCCATTGCTTGGGCCCCTAATAGCCGTTTGCCTAATCTTACTTATTGCTCCTTGCTTTCTCCAGTTCCTACAGCGGCTCTTTCAAGAACTGACTGGAGTCACCATCCACCAGATGCTGCTCCAACCCCACCCTGAACGAGTGCAAGAAACAGACCTCTCCCCAAACCTCCAGGCTCCTTAGGAAAAGAAACCTCTTCAGAACCCCCCGTCGACCCTTGTCAGCAGGAAGTAGCCAGAGAGACAACCGACGCCCCTGACCCCCTCTTTTTCTGTTCTTTAAGGAGTCGGGAATGTTTGGAAAACTCTGCCCCTACCGCAAACGCTCTCTCTCTCTCTCTCTTTCCCTCCCCCACAAAGAGGCTCCCTTATCTCTCACTTTACATACCGGTCCTAGCCCTCCCGCCGCCCAGCTTCCCGCCGCCCAGCTTCCCACCCAGCAGTTCAAACTGACCAACAGTTGCCCACCACCTCGGCTTTTGGCTTCCCCACCCCCCAGCCCTTCAGCCCCCTATAAAACAACCCTGCCCCTCTGAGCAGCGCGGCCATTTTTCCTTTTCGTCCCGGCTGGCCTGCCCGGAGGCTCTTTCCTCTCAATAAAGCCTGAACTTAAGGAATTTCCTCTAGCCTACGGTCCGGTTTTTTCCGAACGAGCTCAGTCTTCCCGCAGAGGGTAGGTCGGACAGTAGACAGGTTGGAGAAGGTGCAGTAAGGGTTCAGCCCATAGAGTTGTGGAGATCGAGAAGTATTTGTTTAATCTGTTTACCGGGGAGGACATACCATCCTGTAAGGAGTACCAGTCCCCCTGCTGAGTGGCCCCCAGTTGCTGGAGTTTTGTACCTCCTGAGGAATGTATTTGGGAGTGGTGGTAGGGGTCACAATGAGTACCTTGGCTGGTGCCTCGGGTTGGGGGGTAGAGGTTGCCCGTTTGGCTGCCTGATCTGCTTTGTGATTGCTGAGGGCGATGGGGTCACTTGTGGTTTGATGACCCCAGCAGTGGATGATGCCTGCCTCCTTGGGGAGTTGGGCTGCCTCAAGCAACTGCCTGATAAGGTGGCTGTTTTTAATGGACCCCCCTTGGGTGGTCATATATCCCCTTTCTTTCCAGATTGCAGCGCAAGAGTGCAGAATGTGGTGGGCGTACTTGGAGTCTGTGTCTATGTTAACCCTGAAATCCTTTGCTAAAGTGAGGGCTCGTGTTAGGGCAACCAGCTCCGCCTGCTGGGAGGTGGTGCCAGGGGGAAGGAGAGCTGCCTCAACTGTGTGTTTTTCGCTTACTGTGGCATAACCCACCTGGGGTTGTATTTGGAAGCTGCACTGCCATCAATGAACCAAGTGTAATGTGGTTGATTAATGGGGTGAGGAACGATGTGTAGGAAAGGGTTAAGGAAAAGGTCTAGTGCCTCGGCACAGCTGTGTTGTGGAGGGTTGGTTTGTGTAGGGATTAGGGAAGCTGGGTTTAGAGGAGGGCATGGCTCAAAGGAGAATTGGGGGTTGTCAGTGAAGGTTAAGTGGACTAATTGGGTTCCGGACGGAGAGACGGTTGACATGGCTCTGTGGGTGAACAGGTCTTGAAAGTGATGTGGAGAACGAATGGTGTTATTTTGCCCAAATGTTGGCTTGTTTCCTGGGCTAGGAGGGTGGCTGCAGTGAGGGCCCGCAGACATGGTGCCCACCTTCTGGTGGTGGTATCTAGTTGCTTTGAGAGGTATGCGACAGGGGTGAAGAGGTTATTGGCTCCTCATCCCAGGACCCCAACTACAATGCCCTTAGACTCTGTGACATATAGAATAAAAGGGAGGGATAGGTTGGGGAGAGAGCAAGCTGGGGCTGTGACAAGCGCAGTTTTTAGTTTCTGGAAGGCAGTATTTTTTGGTTTTATAGGGTCTGGGGGAAGAGAGGGGTCCCCTTTTGTGGCCTCATTTAACAGTTTAGCCAGAACACTGAAATTAGGGACCCATAGGCGGAGATATCCTGTGAGTCCCAGGAAGGAGATAAATTCTCCTTTGGTGGTTTGGGTTGGTAGCTGGGAGATGAGGCTTTTACAGCCCTGTTGTTATAGCCCTGGTTGTAGGGGTGAGTAGGACTCCTAAATAGGTGACCTCTTGTAAGGATATTTGGGCCTTTTTGGGTGAGACTCTGTACCCTCTGGTGGCTAGGAAGTTTAAAAGGAGGATGGTGTGCTGTTGGGAGTCCTCGTAAGAGGGGCTGCAGAGAAGAAGATCGTCCACATACTGGATGAGGGTATGGAAGGCTAGGGAGAGCTGTGAGAGGTCTTTGACCAGGGCCTGGCCAAAGCAATGGGGGCTGTCTCAGAAACCCTGGGGTAGGACTGTCTAAGTGAGCTGTTGAGCATGGTGGGTGTCTGGGTCAGCCCGAGTGAAAGAAAAGCACTCTTGACAGGAGGGATGTAGGGAATGGTGAAGAAGCCGTCTTTGAGGTCTAGGACCAAAAGTGGATGGTTGCAGGGATGGTGGACAGGAGAGTGTATGGCTTAGGTACCACTGGGTGGGTAGGCACGACAACTGAATTGGTGGCTCTAAGGTCTTGGACCAAGCCGTAGGAGCCATTGGCCTTTTTGACAGGGAGAATGGGTGTGTTATAGGGTGAGTGGGTAGGGAGCAGGAGATGGGTCTGGAGAAGTTGGGTCATTATTGGCTTTAGTCCCCACAAGTGGGCCAAAGCGATTGGGTACTGAGGGACGTTGGGGAACAGGGAGGGGTCCCTGAGTTTTATGAGGACGGGTGGTGGTGTGTAGCTATGGAGGGTGAGGCTACATTTCACACAGAGGGGTTAACTAGACTGGGGGGTAAAGGGGAGGTTTGGAGAGGTAGGGAAAGGGCCTGGGGCCGCTTGCAGCAAGAAGTGATGGGCTGGGGACATGGTGCCAAATGTGAGGGTAGTCTTGAATTTAGATAGTATGTCTTTCCCTAGTAGGGGAACTGGGCACTGAGGCATAACTAGACATTTGTGTGAAAAACGGACACTGTGTAGGGTGCAAGAGAGAGGCTGGGTAACTAATGGGTGGTGTTCTAAGCCTATTACTCCTACTATGGTGCCTGGGGAGGCAGAGAGGGGTCCTGAATGCTCAGGAAGGGTGGAGTAGGTAGCCCCAGTACCGATAATCCAGGAGATCTGCTTACCTGCAATGAGGAGAGATACCCTGGGCTCACGGGTGCTGACGGCCGTCGGGGCTCTGAGCCCTGGGCACCGTTAGTCTTCCTCAAGGACCAGGCCCAAGAGTTCTAGCAGAGGGCTGCAAAGCAGGGTGACTTGGGTTTGGGACTGGCCACTTCCCCTTGGGCGAGTGGGGCAATTGACCCCCCAGTGGTCTGGCTGTTTGCAATGCGGACATGGTTTTAGAGGTGCCCTTGGATTGGGGCATGTGTGTGCCCAGTGTCCATACTGGCTGCACTTGAAGCAGGGCCCAGGTGGAGTCTCCTTAGGGAGATGGGGTTTTGACCCCGGTTGTGAGCCCCGGATTGCATTGGCTAGGAGCTGGTATTTAGCCTGATCTCTCCCGTATCAATCCTTTTTCTCTTCTTCCTCCCTATTATTAAAGACCCTAAAGGCGGCATTAAGGAGCTCTCTCTGGGAGGCAGTGGGGCTGTCCTCAAGCTTTTTTTAGCTTTTTGCAGATGTCTGGAGCTCACTGGGTAATGAAGTGTGAGTGTAACAGGGCTGTGCCTGCTGGGGAGTTTGGGTCTACTTTAGTGTATCTGAGTAGAGCCTCTGAGAGGCAAGATAAGAATTGGCTAGGATTTTCAATGGGCTTTTATGTGATTTCACTCAGCTCATCATAATTGACGGATTTGTGTGCTGCCTTTTGGATTGCCTGTATTAGGAAGGCTGTTATGTTGTGTCTGAGGTCCCTATCACTATGGCCAGGTTGGTAGGTCCAATCTGGGTCTGTCCGAGGGACAGCTATAGTGCCTACTGGCTTCCTGCTGTTTTGTGTGTGTGCCTCATTGGCTTGCTGCTGCACGGCTGCCCAGACCTGCTTCCTGTCCTCAGGGGAGAGGGTGGTAGTTAGGATATGGAAAGATCATGCCAAGTGAGGTCGTCAGATTGTATGAGGTACCTAAATTCTTTAATATAGGTGTCAGGGTCAGACTGGAAGGAGCCCAGCTGTTTCTTAATTTGGGAAAGACAAGACAGAGAAGGAGATGTGTACATGGACAGTGCCCTCGGCCCCTGCCACCTCACGAAGGGGAAATAAGGGAGCTGGGGCAGCAGCGGGAGGTTGTGCAAAGGTGGAGGTGGGGGCAGAAGGAACGGGAGGTGGGAAATTGAGTGTGGGGAGGACACAGGGGGGGTGATGGAGCTGGTGAAGAGTTAGGTGGAGAGGCATATGGAGGCGGGCACAGAGCGGAGTGGTCAGTAGGGTTAAAAGGTTGATCGGCATCTGGGAGTAGGGGTTGAGCATGGGCAAGTAAAATTTGGGAGGTGGGGCAACTTTGACAGAGGGAAAGGCAAGAGCGAAGGTAAAAGAAAGCTTGAGTATAGGGAATTCTCCAGCTTTGCCAGTCTGGTGAGAGAAGTTGTTTAAGTCTGTGAGAATATTAAAATCGAAAGTGCCATTTTCTGGCCACTGGGATCCGTTATCTATTTTATATCGAGGCCATGCCTGGTTGCAGTAGAAAATGAGGTGTTTAGTTTTAATGTCCCCTCGGAGACCCAGAGTTTGTAAGTTGGCAATGAGACAACCCAGAGGGGTAGAGCAAGGGGGTTTTGACTGAGATGATCCCTTTTTTTTTTTCTATAGAAAGATAACAGGTCAAAATAAGCTACTTGAATGGTGGGAAAAAATAGAGTAAGCCCAATTCTAATGAACAAGAAGCAATAGTCTCTGATAAAGATAAGCAGAAAATAAAGATAGGAGTTATTACTGGGGCCAGTGGGTGATCCCGTTTAGTAGAGTTGGGAGAGACCGAGCAGACCCGGTAGAAGGAGGGACAAACCAAGGAGTGTCCTTGTTGGTTTTGAGCGTCCCTGTAGGGAGAAGATGCCACCAATTGGAGGGTCATCATCCTTTTGCCAGGGCAATAGAGGGGGTTCCCTCGGCTGCGCCTGGTCTTGGGAGAGAGAGAGAACAGGGGAACCCGTGGTGGCAAGAGAGTTAGGTCTCTTACCCAAATGGAGGTCAGTGGTGGATGCGAGGGGGTCTGGAGTGGCAAGCGGAGAAAGTCCCTGGGACACCTGGTACGGCAACAAGATTGGGAAGGGGTGGCTGGGGGGCCATTCGACCTGAGTAGGGATCGTCCAGAGACCCTGACCAATTCCCCTCCCGGGTTTCGGCACCACTAATGATAGAAATTAAAGAGAGGACCGAAACACCAGGTGCGGGAACAAGCTTTATTAAGAGCAGGGGAAAAGCTGCGGGGCTGCACCCAAAATTGGTGCGCAGCACCTGTGGCGTGGCAAAAGGGATTTTTATGGCCTGCAGATGCATCTGGTATGAGGGGCTGTGCAGGAGGGGAGGGGATGGGGAACTGCTGAGTTTGATAGTTCCTGGGAGGGAGTCGTGCTAGGGAATTGCTGAGAGAGTTCCCGGGAGTGGGTGGTGCTAGGAGGCTGGGGAACTTGAGGCAGCGGCAAATGGAATAAGTTCTGTCAATTGTATATTTTCAGGTGTTTTTCTTTGTATTTAATTGTACATCTTTATCAAGCTGTCATCTAAGTGAGCATTGATATGATTTTGGGATTATTGAATTTGCCAAGGATTGTTGTATTTCTGATTGGTCAATTTTAGAGTATGTGACAAGTGGTAATGAGAAGAATGTGTATTCTGTTGGTTTTAGATAGTTTTATAAATGTATATTAGGACTATTTGGTCAAGTGTTGAGTTGATTTTCTACCTTAGTGATTTGTCTAATAGTGTCTGTGGGGTGTTGTATTGTGTCAGAATCTACATTTCTTCACAGGCCTTTAAAGACTTCCTTTATTCATGTACACCCATACATTTTTAAAAACATCTTTCTTCCGCATTTTTCTTCATAAACATTCTTTTAAGTGCACACAGGGTGCCCGAGGCTGCTATTTAAGTACCTGAATCCTGTGTCTACTGAAATTCACATGCCCAAGAATTCAGGAGCACCCAGAGACTTCGCTATTTTAACCAACTGTAAATACCCCTGTGGCATAGAGAACAGAATTGTATGTCGGGTCCACTGCGTACTCCAGTTCTGTTCAGATTCACCCTTTTTGGAGGCCTTACTTAGATCTGACCCAGCCCCTGGAGTCTTGCTTCACACAACTGATGAGAAGAGATGAATTTTGGCTGGGAAATTCTGATGCCTTTCTAGAGCTGGTGCTCACAATTTCCTGAAATTGGAGATAAATAGAAAAATAAAGTATGTACTTTAGGGTCTTATTTCTTAATTTCTATTGAAACCAGTACTTGCAGAGACAGTCTAGTTAGCAACTTGTTTCTTATTCCTGCAGATCCAGTAGTTGTTCCACAAGTCACAAAAATTAAATACAAACATAAAAATTTCTCTAAACATTAAACATTTTTTTCTGTATTCTTCTCATCTGTTCTATATTTAGCTTTTATTCTCTACAGTTTTTTAAAAAAACCAATAACAGAGAAGCAGAAGAAATAAAAATGCTGGGCCCTTTATCTAAATTTTGGGAATTGTTAATCTCTTAATACCAAGTTTCAGGGTTTTATGCAGATTAAATCACATACTGTGTTATTCCCAGCGCAGTGCTTTTAACATACTCTTGAGCACATAGTACCTGCTAAGTAAACATTGCAATAGTACATGTGTACGTGTTGTTTTTCTAATGCAGGCTCATTCAGACATTGCCACCTTCTGTTTCCTTTGTAAACTTTACAGAGCCAGCAAAGAATATGATGCTTGAGGATGGAGATTGGTTGTCTTCATTTGTACCAGAAATACTTGTGTTGTGACAAAAGTGCAGGAGTGTAAGGGACTCTGCTCTGCCATTCTCTCCTTTTTTTCCCCCTTTTCTTTCTTTCTTTCTTTCTTTTTTTTTTTTTTTTTTTTGAGACAGGGTCTCACTGTGTCACCCAGGCTGGAGTGCAGTGGCATAATCTTGGCTCACTGCAACCTCCATCTCCTGGGTGCAAGTAATGCTTCCTGCCTCAGCCTCCTGAGTAGCTGGGATTATAGGCACCTGCCACCATGCCCAGCTGATTTTTGTATTTTTTAGTAGAGACAGGGTCGAACTCCTGACCTCAGGTAATCTGCCCGTCTTGGTCTCCCAAAGTGCTGGGATTACAGGCATGAGCCATCTCGCCTGGCCTGTGCCTGCTTTCTCTAACTAATGCTAATAATGAGCCCAGGGGTCATAACATCAGCGTTGAAAGAGGACTGGTTTAAAATGCTCATTTGGACCCCTTCCAAACCTGCAGAATCATATTACATAGAGTGGGACTAAATTTACCAAGTGATTTTTGAGCTCATTAAAGCTTGAGAGGTCCAACCTGGCCAACCCTGTCTCTACTAAAAATACAAAAATTAGCTGGATGTGGTGGCTCATGCCTGTAATCCCAGCTACTTGGGAGGCTGAGGCATGAGAATCACTTGAACCCTGGAGGCGGAGACTGCAGTGAGCCAAGATTGTGTCATTGTATTCCAGTCTGGGCAACAGAGTGAGACTCTCTTAAAAAAAAAAGAAAAAAAAGCTTGAGAGGCAATGCCAGTTTGCAGAAATCTCTTTACTTGTGCCCTTTCCACAGGTTCTGTTTATTGTTCTGGGTAGAAGCATCTATGTTGTTTTAATTGTCTCATGTGACTCTGAGGTGAAGCCAGAATCAGGTATGAGGGCTCCAAGAGAAATTCTTGAGAGTTAAGTTCCACCTTTGCACTGAAGGGTGGTCACAGGGCCTGCTTTGCTTTGGTTTGGTTGGGACAGGGCAGTGTGGGCCACATTTTCATTACTGTAGCAGAACTTGCTGGTGAGTCTTGCAGGGGAGGGCACCTGAGTTCAGGGAAGGAGAAACTTACATTTTTGTCTTCATGGAGCGGCTCCTGAATCTCTTCTGTTAGACAGAAATGGGTGGACTTTTTCTGCAAGCCTTGGTCGACTGCCTGTGAGTGTGGCGGTAGCAGGTAAACAGGTGGTGCTGACATCTTTAAGGGCATATTCTCAAGATGTAGGTGGAATTTGTCCAGAGAATCTCATCTGAGCAGGAATTTCAGAGGAGGAGGAGAAAGAAGAAAACATGGCTTTTTTTTTTCAGCTAAACATGTCTTAAATCAGCTGTGTCCACTTTTCCTCCTGGTTTACCATGTGTTTAATACTTGCGAACTTACTTTTCTTCTTGTGCTTTTCCTCCCTAACGAGTTTAACTACTGTTTAAAATCAGTATGGTAATCAGGGGTCTCTGAGAAATATTTCTTACATGTCAGAGCTACTTCATGGCTTCTTATATGCCATGCAAAATTCTCACAATGAATTTATAATCTGAAGTATTGAAAATGTTCCCTTCGTTGCTATTGAATTCGGGAAAGTGTGGATACTCAATATTCCTATTGGGAAAAGCTGGGGTTCTTAGTAAAGACGGAGGATGTGTAATGATAGGGTTTGATCTGTGTTCTCTATTAGCTCTCTGCAGAACAGGATTGAGAAAATGCTTATTTAAACAGGATGACATTTTATTTAGAAAGTTCTAGCAAATAAATATTAGGAGATACTTGCTCTCTAGAGTGCTTAAGAAAGACTACTTAAAATCACTATTAAAAATGACAACATGGGAGATATCTGTATGTTGAACTTTGCATAAAACTGATGTATCTTTATGGTTAAATTCAGACTATAATTTACTTTTGGGGTGGCAGTATCCCAGCAGCGATGCTGTGTCTTTCTGCATGTATCAGCACATCATAAAAATTTGTCCTAATGCACTTGATGGTAATGATTCACTTGGATAAAGAGCTCTCTCTCAGATTTTTTTCACTGCAGAGTTAATTGTGTTTCTTTTTTATTATTAAGTATCTTTATGCAGCCGATGTACATAAATCATATTTAATCTGGCAGCTGCCTTTCTTTCTTAGGTTTTCTTTGTTTATATCAGTCTTTGGAAAATGAAGGCTCTCATCTTTGTTTACAGGCCAGAAAAACTGGGAAAAATATTTTCACTTACTGGAGGTTTGACAAAATAGTATTTTTGGGCCAAAAACATTGGCATTACTGGTGGGTTTGTTAGAAATTCAACAAACTTTATTCCAGATCTTCTGAAAAAATAATCTGCATTACATATTAAAATTTGAGAGGTACCTGCTAACTCAGCATGTCTCTTTGATCTGAAAAATATGCACAATTTATTCTGTATGGTATAAATATAGCACCAAAAATGTACATGTTGTTGTTTGTACCTCTAATTTAAAGCTCTATTATTCAGAAAAATATCATATAGGAGTGGGTGCCATGGCTCACGCCTGTAATCCCAGCACTTTGGGAGGTCGAGGTGGTCGGATCACCTGAGGTCAGGAATTTGAGACCAGCCTGACCAACATGGAGAAACCCCATTTCTACTAAAAATACAAAAAGTTAACCAGGTGTGGTGGCACATGCCTGTAATCCCAGCTACTTGGGATGCTGAGGCAGGAGGACCGCTTGAACCAGAGAGGTGGAGGTTGTGGAGAGCCAAGATCTCACCATTGCACTCTAGCCTGAGTGAACAACAAGAGCAAAACTCCGTCTCAAAAAAAAAAAGAAAGAAAAGAAAAGAAAAAAAAGAAAAAGAAAAATATCAAGGCCGGGCACGGTGGCTCACGCCTGTAATCTTAGCACTTTGGGAGGCTGAGTCGGGCGGATCACGAGGTCATCCCGGCCAACAGTGAAACCCTGTCTCTACTAAAATATAAAAAGTAGCTGGGTGTGGTGGCGCGCATCTGTAGTCCCAGCTACTGGGGAGCCTGAGGCAGGAGAATTGCTTGAACCCTAGAGGCGGAGGTTGCAGTGAGCCGAGATCGCGCCACTCCCAGCCTGGCGCCTGGCAACAGAGCGAGACTCTGTCTCAAAAAAAAGAAAAAGAAAAATATCATATATACACTGATGTTGTGGAGCTTATGCCACTCTTTTTTTCTCAGATTAGAGAATTCATTAGGGAATATTTCCGTGTTGAAAATTATTTTATTAGATAATTTCAGTCACTCCTATAAGTCAGAACCAGTTCTCTTTACTCTCTCATTTCACCTTGAGTCAAAAATTCTGTTCAGCTGGGTGCGGTGACTCTCTCCTGTAATCCCAACACGTGGGGAAGCTGAGGCAGGTAGATCACAAGGTCAGGAGTTCAAGACTAGCCTGACCAACATACTGAAACTTTGTCCCTACTAAAAGTACAAAAATTAGGCGAGCGTGTTGGTGTGCACCTGTAATCCCAGCTACTCTAGGCTGAGGCAAGAGACTTGCTTGATCCTGTGAGGTGGAGGTTGCAGTGAGCTGAGATCACACCACTGCACTTGGGCCTGGGCAACAGAGATTCCATCTCAGAAAAACAAAACAAAACAAAAATTCTGCTCATGTTCACTTTCTAAAAGTGTGTGTGTGTGTGTGTGTGTGTGTGTGTGTGTGTGTGTGTGTGTTGGATGTGATTTTTTTCAGAGACCATTGACATTTAGGGATGTGGCCATAGAATTCTCTCTGGAGGAGTGGCAGTGCCTGAACCCTGCTCAGCAGGATTTGTATAGAAATGTGATGTTAGAGAACTACAGAAACCTGGTCTTCCTGGGTGAGGATAATAATTTCTAATATACCTTAAATGTTTCATTTCTTTGTAGAATGTTTTTTGGTAACTTATGCTTTGCACAAATGAGTTTCAGATCCCTGTTTTCCAGAAAAGCTTGGGGATTTGTCTGTGTAAAAAAGAATTTTTCATGATGTTTTATCTTGACCTGAACTTTCCACATGCCTGAGCTGATCTGTATCCTTCAATCTAGATTAGTGGTAATTCCAGAAATTTAATGGCAAAAAATATTGTTGCCCACACCTTAAAATCTGATTGCTACCATTAATTTTTGATTTAATAGTACTGGGTACTGAAATTAAAAACATACACATTTAAAATATTTTCTAAATATTTAGAAATTTCTCTTATAAATTAGTATTTTTGGGGTTAATTTGCTAGACTATTCTATTACGTTCTCTTTACTAAGCACATTACTAAGTTTTAGTAATTACAGAATATGAGCGAGATTTATGTTATTTATTTTTAATAAAATAGGTATTGCTGTGTCTAAGCCAGCTTTAATCACCTATCTGGAGAAAGAAAAAGAGCCCCAGAGTATGAAGAGACAGGAGATGGTGGATGAAACCCCAGGTAGGTGAGAGTGAACACAACATGTGACACAGATGAGAGGTCCAAAGGTCAAGAGAAAGCCAGTTTTTAAATTGTGATTTGGGAAGCTGTGTACCAAAAGAAATAGTTTCTGTAAGCTGGTTGTTGTTGTTGTTGTTTTAAATTTTTCTCTCATTTAGGGTCATCTTCTGTCTTATGCTTTTTCCAAGTTTATAGTGAGAGCCAAAGTCCTATTTATGGCATCTAACAGACTGCACAATTTGACTATTTCTTCATTATTTTGGGGGACACACAAATATCTGCATAATTTTGTGAAGCTCTATGTTAAACTATTTTTTAAGTTCTCTTTTTGCATCCTTTCTGAAATGTGTGAGAGTAGTAGTTTTGGCTCCATGAGGGTTTGTTGTTGTTGTTGGTTTTTTCTGCATATTCCATCCTGTTTGTATTACTATAGTCTTGAAATATAGTTTGAAATTATAAAGTAGGATGTCCCTCTGCTTTGTTCATTTTTCTCAATATTGCTTTGGCTATTCAATGTTTATTGTAGTTCCCTGCACATTTTAGGATTGCATTTTCTATTACTGTGAAAAATATACCTAGAATAGAATAGAATAGAATAAAATAGAATTTTGATAGGAGTTTATTGAATCCATAGATTACGTTGGATAATACTTGCTTTTAAAAACTTTTGTTTTTAATTTCTAGTTTAATTCATTTGGTCAGAAAACACACAGTGTATAATTTTGGTCTTCTTAACAATATTGGCCCTTTAACAATATTTATTTTAGCAATATTTAACAATATTCTAGTTTCAGTTTTGGTCAGAAAACACAGTGTATAATTTTTGTTTTCTTAACAATATTACCACGTTAACAATATTTATTCTTTCAATCTATACACATGAAATATTTTTAAATTTATTTATGGTCTTCTAATTTCTTAATACATCTTTAATTGTAAAGACTTTTAACCTCCTTCATTAAGTTCCTTTCAGAAATTAATTTTAATGCAATTGTAAATAAGTTTTCTTCCTCTATTTTATGAAGTAGTTTGTTTTAAGTATACAGAACCATGACTTGTATCTTAATTTTGTATTTTGCTAATTTACTGTGTGTATTTATTAGTTTAGACACATTTTAATGTACTGCTTGTGGCTTTTTATGTATAATATTATATAATAAGCAATTTCAATGACTATTTTTTATTTTTTTGACTAATTCTTTTGCCACATACTTTCACTGCTATGTTAAAATCGAAGCATTAACAATGGGCACAATATAGTTTTGTATTGGTGTCTGTGAATTTGAAAGAGCAAACACTTCTTCAGGTTTTTATAAACTGCTTTTAAGAGGTAAAGATCTTTTGTTGGGCCCTCAGAGTGATAGAATGCCCTCTGGGTTTGTAGTAGAGAGGGGTTGTAGCTTAGTCACAGGTTCCTGGGTCTTCACTAGGGTCCACCTTTAGTTGGCTCATAAATAAGGGGCTTGGGTAGATGTAATTCCCATTTTGTTTTTGGAAAGAGTGACTATCCTTCAGGACTTTGCTCTGTAGGGCAGACACTAAGGCAGATTTTTGCAGTCGGGTCTGTAAATGCGGGCCTTATATTGGGATGTAGAAGAGTATGGCTTTCACTAAGAACCAGAGAGCATTTTCCCAGGTCACTGTGTGGGTTTCTATATAGGCAGAACTGGTCATGCACTGTGGCTCAGCAACTGGACCTGAGTCATTGAACTGCTTCAGGGACCGCAGTAAAGGCCAAGGTCTGTAGGCCTGCTGCATGGCTATAAACAGATGTCTTCCTCCAGGCTCTGGAAGGGCAGGGCCTCCTTCGGACTATGGCTGGGAGGAGTTTGGGATGATTACACAGTAAGTTCAGAATTCTCAGTTGAACCAAGGTGAGTGGGCCGCTTCCTGGTCTGGATTCAAAAACAGGGGTCCCAAAGTTTGCCCCTTGAATAAGGACTTGCACTCTGAAAAGAAGTACTTCTCAGTTCTGGGCTTTAGCAGTTTCACAGCTCCCTCCCTGGATCTCACAGCTCTCTTAAAGGCACTTATTTGTGATATCGGGTCTTGCTATATAACCCTGGCTGGTCTTGAACTCCTGACCTGATGAAATTCTCTGATCTTAATGTACCATGTACGTGTCATTACAGATGTGAGCCATGATGGCTGGCTCTCTTAGAAAGGCATTTTTGTTAGGGATGGTTGACAACTTTTCTTGCCTTTGGGGGATAAGTAAACAGGGCACCTTTTTTTCTTTATCTTACTGATGTCATTCCCCCTCTATATTTTTACTTCTATTTTCATTTTCCCTTCCCTTTCCTTTTCTTCCTTTCCTTCTTTCCCCTCTCCCTCTTACTCTGTTGCCCAGGCTGGAGTACAGTGTTGCAATCTTGGATCACTGCAACCTCTGCCTCCTGGGTTCAAGGGATTCTCATGCCTCAGCCTCCAAGTAGCTGGGATTACTGCCTGCCACCATGCCCAGCTAATTTTTATATTTTTAGCAGAGATGGGGTTTTATCATATTGGCCAGGCTAGTCTGGAACTCTTGACCTCAGGTGATTCACCTACCTCTACCTCCCAAAGTGATGGGATTACAGGCATGAGCTACCGTGCCTTTACTTTCATTTTCTATTTTAAATTTGTATGTAATTTTAGATTCAGAGATTTAGGACAATATGCCAGAATTTACATGTTATGTTTGAAGTAAATTAGATAATTAGTAGGCACTCCATATTTACTAAAATAGTACTTACAATTTTTTTTTTTTTTTCTGAGGCAGAGTCTGTCTCTGTTGTCAGGCTGGAGTGCAGTGGTGCGAGCTCAGCTCAATGCAACCTCCGCCTCCTGGGTTCAGGCAATTCTCCTGCCTCAGCCTCCTGAGTAGCTGGGATTACAGGCACGCGCCACCATGCCCAGCTAATTTTTTGTATTTTTAGTAGAGATGGGGTTTCACCATGTTGACCAGCATGGTCTCAATCTCTTGACCTTGTGATCCACCCGCCTTGGCCTCCCAAAGTGCTGGGATCACAGGCGTGAGCTGGGATTACCACACCCGGCAGCATATGGTGCTTTTGACTGGAGAGAGTCTTTTGCTTTCGACTGGAAAGTTTTGTACAAGTCTGTTAAACCTCGTTGGTCTATAATATCTGGGTGTCTGTGTTCTCCAACCTGTGGCTGGCTCATTTTTTGGAAAAGGTCATTGAGTTTTATTTTTAGTTTTTAGGATATTTTCTGCTTTTCAAAACCTGGGTAATATTCCAGTATGTTTATATTTCAAATTATATCTACTGAATGATTTACTGACAAAAATTTGCATTGTTTTTACCTATTGGTTTTCAGCAACGTTGCAGCAGTAATTATGGTTATGATGATATGAATATCGCCATATGTATGAATGTTTATATATGTGCTGCATTATATTTGAGTAGTCTACTTTTTCACCTTGATACTCAAACTAATTTGTTTGAACTCTGTAGCTTTGTAATATGCTTTTTTTTTTTTGAGACAGTCTCACTCTGTTGCCCAGGCTGCACTGCAGTGGTGTGACCTCAGCTCACTGCAACCTCTGCCTCCCAGGTTCAAGCTATTTTTTTGCCTCAGCCTTCAGAGTAGCTGGGATTACAGGCACACACCACCACCCCCAGCTAATTTTTGTATTTTTAGTAGAGGTGGGATTTCACCATGTTGGTCAGGCAGGTCTTGAACTCATGATCTCATGATCCCTCCGCTTTGGCCTCCGAAAGTGCTGGAATTACAGGCGTGAGCCACTGCGCCTAGCCTGTAATATGCTGTAAAATAAGAAACTGTAGGCTGGGCGCGGTGGCTCACGCCTGTAATCCCAGCACTTTAGGAGGCTGAGGCGGGTGGATCACGAGGTCAAGAGATCGAGACCATCCTGGCCTACATGGTGGTGCGTGCCTGTAATCCCAGCTTCTTGGGAGGCTGAGGCAGGAGAATTGCCTGAACCCAGGAGGCGGAGGTTGCAGTGAGCTGAGATCACGCCATTGCACTCCAGTCTTGGTAACAAGAGTGAAACTCCGTCTCAAAAAAAAAAAAAAAAAGAAACTGAAATGCCACCAACATTGTTTTTTTTTGTTTGTTTGTTTTTGAGATGGAGTTTCTCTCTTGTTGCCCAGGCTGGAGTACAATGGTGCGATCTCAGCTCAGTGCAACCTCTGCCTCTCAGGTTCAAGTGATTCTCCTGCCTTAGCCTCCTGAGTAGCTGGGACTATAGGTACGTGCCACCACACCCAGATAATTTTTACATTTTTAGTAGAGAAGGGGTTTCTCCACATTGGTTGGGCTGATCTTGAACTCCCAGCCTCAGGTGACCCATCCACCTCAGCCTCCCAAAGTGCTGGGATGACAGGCCACCGCGCCCAGCCTTTTGTTTTTTGATTGTTGAGTACCTCATTGTCTCTTGAGATTCCATATCCTTTTGGTGTTGCTGTTTCTATTCAAAAATGCAGTGAGAAATTTGAAAAAACATTGCATTAAATCCATAGATTACATTGAGCAGTATGAAAATCTTCACAGTATTAATTATTTGAACCTTTAGATAAGAGTATGCTAAAGGTTGTATTGCTTAATTTCTATATAATTTTGAATTTTTCAGTTTTTTTCCTATTAATACTTATTTCATTTTGATCAAGAGAAAGTAATCCATAAAATTTTAGCCTTAAAAAAAGACTTTTCTTTTGGCCTAACAGGTGATCTATTAAGGAGAATGTTGTCTGATCTATTAAGGGTGTATATCCTGATGCTGAGTGTCCTCTATACCTCTGCTTGGAATAATTGTTTTATACTGCCTTCAAGTCCTCTGTCTTGTATTATTATGATTACTGAACACAGCAATAAATTATAGTAGGGCATTTTAGTTCTACTAGTAGTTCAGTTCTATCAATATTTGCTTTATATATTTGGGACTCTAATGTGAGACACACACACACACACACACACACATGCATAAACAAATTTGTCATAGGTTCCTAGTGAATGCATTATTAATGTCCTTTGTCTCTTTGGAGTTTTGACTTCAAGTACATTTTATAAAATATGACAGTTTTTGACTTAAGATGTAGCTTGTGTAATATTATTTTGCCCCCTTCTGTTCTCGTTCTGTTAATATTTTCATGGAATGTCTACTATCTTGCCACTTTTAGTAACTTTTGTCATTAGATCACAACTGACTCTTGTAGAAAGGCAAGTTGGATATTGTCATTTTTCTTAAAATCCTTTTATTAAAAGTACGTGTTTTTACAGAAAATTTAATTTTATATATACTTCATTTTATGAAAAAGAACTTATTTTTAGTTGTTTTGATTCTTACATTTTTATCTCACTTTTTCTATTTGTCTTTGTGTCTTTTTTATTTTTGTATTCATATGCTTTTACTTATTTCTATTTTCTTTTGTGTATCTATACAGATATGTACTTTGTGGTACTTTGGGGATTGTATAAAACCTCTAAAAAACACAATGATATATTTTAATCTAGCAAAAAAATCAGTTGCAGACAAAAGTTCTTCCTCATTATATCTGCCCTCAACTTGGTTATTTATGTTGCTAATTGTATCTTTTTGTGTTATATATTCATTAACAAATGTTTATAATAGTTTTTATGCTTTTGTCTTTCAAATTTTAGAGAATGTTTTCTGCATCATTATGATGATGCTAAGGAATTCTATTTTTGTGTATATGCATGTCTTTCCCAGAAAGTTACGCATTCTCTTATGATTATGTGTTGTATTCTTGCATTATGTTTTTGTTTTTTTTTTTTCAGTGGAAAGAACCCCTTTCAGCATCTTCAATAATACAGGGTATATGCAATGCCAGCATACTTTCTCAGGATTTGGTTATTTTGGGAGGTTTTTTCTTTCTTTTTCTTTTTTTAAATTTTGTGGGCCTTTTTTTCTGATGGCATTCATCTCACTTAATAGCTATTTTTGTTTTCAGGACTTCGATGATATCACAGTTTCCTCTGGCCTGCAGAATTTATGTTGACAAATTCACAGGTTATCATATAAGACTATGCTTATAAATGACACATCACTTTTGTCTTGCAGGTTCTAAGATTTTCTTGTCTGTGACTTTTGAAATTGTGCTTAATATATGTATTTGTTATAATATCTCTTATATACTAGGTTTTTGTTTTCTTTTTTGTTTTGTTTTTAGATGGAGTCTTGCTCTTTCACTAGGCTGGAGTGCAGTGGCGCAGTCTGGGCTCGCTGCAACCTCTACTCTCGGATTGAAGCAATTCTCCTGCTTCAGCCTCCTGAGTAGCTGGGACTACAGGCACATGCCACCATGCCCAGCTAATTTTTGTATTTTTAGTAGAGATGGGATTTCACCTTGTTGACCAGGATGGTCTCGATCTCTTGACCTGGTGATCTGCCCACTTCAGCCTCCCAAAGTGCTGGGATTACTTACAGGTGTGAGCCACGGCACCCAGCTGCTAGTTTGTTATGTGAACTTCTTTTTTATATCATTTTTCTTGCTACTAGAATTTTTCAGTTATTTTTACGTTAACCTCTGCAATTTGTTTTTTGATGTTTTTAAAATTTTTGGTGTCATTTTTATTTGTCTGATTTTCAGTAATTGTCTGTTTCTTTTTCACTGATATAGTATTACTCACTTTGTTTTCCATTTCTAAAATTAATCTATACATCTTTATTTTTTATGGCTGCTTTCTGAAAATTTTCTAATTTTTATGATGGGGCCATGTTGCCCTAATATTTTGTATACATTGTAATCTTTGATTGAGATTTGGACATTTAAAAAATGCTACCTGTCGGCTGGGCACGATGGCTCAGGCCTGTAATCCTGGCACTTTGGGAGGCTGAGGCAGGCAGATCACATGACCAACATGACGATCAGCCTGACCAACATGGAGAAACCCGATCTCTACTAAAAATATAAAAAACTTGCAGGCATGTGGTACATGCACGTAATCCCAGCCACTCAGGAGGCTGAGGCAGGAGAATTGCTTGAACCTGGGAGGTAGAGGTTTTGGTGAGCTGAGATCACATCATTGCACTGCAGCCTGGGTAATAAGAGTGAAACTCCATCTCAAAAACAAAAAAAACAAAAATGCTACCTTCACAATATTTATAATGTTGCCTTCTCCTGGCATAGTCTGAAACCAGTTGTGTTCGCTAGAGATTCTAGGAGACTCAGGATGGGCGCGGTGGCTCACGCTTATAATCCCAGCACTTTGGGAGGCCGAGGCGGGTGGATCACGAGGTCAAGAGATCGAGACCATCCTGGTCAACAAGGTGAAACCCCGTCTCTACTAAAAATACAAAAAATTAGCTGGGCATGGTGGTGCACGCCGGTAGTTTCAGCTACTTGGGAGGCTGAGGCAGGAGAATTGCTTGAACCCAGGAGGCAGAGGTTGTGGTGAGCCAAGATTGTGCCATTGCACTCCAGTCTGGGTAACAACAGCGAAACTCTATCTCAAAAAAAAAAAAAAAAAAAAAAAAAGATTCTAGAGACTCTCAAACGTGTTCTCAGGATGTTTCTTTCTTTTTTTTTTTTTTTGAGACAGACAGAGTTTCGCTGTTGTTACCCAGGCTGGAATGCAATAGCACGATCTCGGGTCACTGCAACCTCCGCCTTCTGGGTTCAAGCAATTCTCCTGCCTCAGCCTCCCGAGTAGCTGGGATTACAGGTGCGCACCACCATGCCCAGCTAATTTTTGTATTTTTAGTAGACACGGGGTTTCACCTTGTTGACCAGGATGTTCTCAATCTCTTCACCTTGTGATCCACCCGCCTCGGCCTCCCAAAGTGCTGGGATTATAGGCGTGAGCCACCGCGCCCAGTCATGAATGTTTCTTATCTAAAAGTTGGTGTTTATTTTTTAGTTAAAATAGTTTATTCCTGTTTCTTCTTAATACTAACCATTTCTTACACCTGTTCCTTGCCTGTGGTGCTGCAGTCTCCCTGCTGCTGTAACATTTACCTTCGATCTCATCAGACTCAAACCGTCATGCCAAAGTATACCATTGTTTCTTTCAGCACTTTATGTAATGGGAGACAAAAAACTGTGTCAAGACAGAACCAAAGCAGTGAGAAATGAAGGTGTGTCTTCCAGTGTTTTTCTTGACTTTTAAAGTAGAAACCAGGACTTGGCAATTTACTTTTGAAGACACTGTGTTATACTGAAGAGTAAAAAGACCTCTTTTGGGTAAAAGAAAGTCTTTTATTTCTTTTCTGTGTGGTTCTTTGCATTGTACTCACCAGGGGCACTGTACATACTTAACTCATTTATAAATTTTCCACAAATGTATTTTGATAAGTATATGTTACACGTATATATTTATTTAAAAAATTAGAACCTGTGGTATTTTGCTGTGTCATCTTGTTTATGTAGTTTGTATAATTTTAGAGGTTAGATTTGTTAAGTATATTCACCTGAGTCTAGTAAATGGAATAATTTTTTGTTTTGATTTTTTTTTAGTCCTTTGTTCTCATTTTGCCAAAGACCTCTGCCCAGAGCAAGACATAAAAGATTTTTTTCCAAAAAGTGATACTGAGGAGATATGATACATATGAACATGAGAACTTACCATTAAGAAAGGTCTATAAAAGTGTTGATGAGTGCCTGTTGAACAAAAGAGGCTGTAATGAACTTAACCAATGTTTGACAACTACCCAGAGCAAAATATGTCAATGTAATAAAGATGGGAGAGTCTTTCATAAATTTTCAAATTTAAATACACATAAGACAAGACATACTGGAATGAAACCTTTCAAATGTAAAGAATGTGGCAAATCATTTTCTACACTTTCACATCTAACTTGGCGTAAGATAATTCATAGCGGAGAGAAACCTGACAAATCTGAAGAATATAGGAAGGCTTTTAGTGTGTCCTCAACCCTTACTCAACATAAGAAAATTCATACTGGAGAGAAGCCGTACAAATGTGAAGAATGTGGCAAAGCCTTTAATTTACCTTCATCCCTTAGTCGACATAAGATAATTCATATTGGAGAGAAACCCTACAAGTGTGAAGAATGTGGCAAATCCTTTAAGAAGTCCTCACACCTTACTACATATAACATAATTCATACTGGAGAGAAACCCTACAAATGTGAAGAATGTGGCAAAGCATTTAACTCTTCCTCATCCCTTAATAAACATAAGATAATTCATACTGGAGAGAAACCTTATACATGTGAAGAATGTGGCAAAGCATTTAACCGGTCCTCATCCCTTAATAGACATAAGATAATTCATACTGGAGAGAAACTTTACAAATGTCAAGAATGTGGCAAAACCTTTAAGCAGTCCATATACCTTACTATACGTAAGAGAATTCATACTGGAGAGAAGCCCTACAAATGTGAAGAATGTGACAAAGCTTTTAACTGTTCCTCCCACCTTACTAGACATAAGAGAATTCACACTGGAGGGAAAGCCTAAAAATGTGAAGAATGTGGCAGAGCTTTTTTTTTTTTTTTTGAGGCGGAGTTTTGCTCTTGTTACTCAGGCTGGAGTGCAATGGCGCAATCTTGGCTCACTGCAACCTCTGCCTCCTGGGTTCAGGCAATTTTCCTCCCTCAGCCTCCTGAGTAGCTGGGACTACAGGCACACGCCACCATGCCCAGCTAATTTTTTGTATTTTTAGTAGAGACGGGGTTTCACCATGTTGACCAGGATGGTCTTGATTTCTTGACCTTGTGATCCACCCGCCTTGGCCTCTCAAAGTGCTGGGATTACAGGCGTGAGCCACTGCACCCGGCTGTGGCAGAGCTTTTAACTGGTCTTCAAACCTTACTAAGCATAAGAGAATATGTACTGGAGAGAAGCCCTACAGATGTGAAGAATGCTACAAAGCCTTTAACCAGTTCTCAACTCATACTAAACATAAGAATTTGGCCAGGCACGGTGGCTCACGCCTGTAATCTCAGCACTTTGGGAGGCCAAGGCGGGTGGATCAGGAGATCGAGACCATCCTGGCCAACATGGTGAAACCCCATCTCTACTAAAAAATACAAAATCACCTGGGCATGGTGGTGTGTGCCTGTAGTCCCAGCTACTCGGGAGGCTGAGGTAGGAGAATTGCTTGAACCCAGGAGGCGGAGGTTGTAGTGGGCCAAGATCGCGCCTCTTCACCCCAGCCTGGTGACAGAGTGAGATGGAGTCTCAAAAAAAAAAAATCATATGGAAAATAAATCCTACAAATGTGAAGAATGTGAAAAAGTTAATTTTCCTTTTAAGTTCAGGGATGCATGTGCAGAACTACAAGTTTGTTACATAGGTATACATGTGCCATGGTGGACAGCTGCACCTATCAACCTGTCATCTGGGTTTTAAGCTCCACATGCATTAGCTATTTGTTTTTCCCCACAATCCTCGGCTATGAGAGGCCCTCATGTTTGTTGTTCCCCTCCCTGTGTCCATGTGTTCTCTTGGTTTACCTCCCCCTTATGGGTGAGAACATATATGTTTGGCTTTCTGTTCCTGTGTTAGTTTCCTGAGGATGATGGCTTCCAGCTTCATACATGTTCCTGAGGAGGACATGATCTCATTCCTTTTTATTACTGCATGATATTTCAAGGTGTGTATGTACCATCTTTTCTTTATGCAGTCTATTATTGATGGGTATTTGGGTTGGTTCCGTGTCTTTGCTCTTGTAAATAGTGCTGCAGTAAACATACGTGTGCATGTGTCTTTACAGTAGAATGATTTCTATTCCTTTGGTTATATACCCAGTAATGAATTGAATTCCTGGGTCAAATGGTATTTGTGGTTCAGGATCCTTGAGGAATCACCACAGTCTTCCACAGTGATTTTTTATTTTTATTTATTTATTTTTTGAGATGCAGTTTTGCTCGTTACCCAGGCTGAAGTGCAATGGCGCGATCTCAGCTCACCGCAACCTCTGCCTTTTGGGTTCAAGCAATTCTCCTGCCTCAGCCTCCCGAGTAGCTGGGACTACAGGCGCATGCCACCATGCCCAGCTAATTTTTGTATTTTTAGTAGAGACAGGGTTTCACCATGTTGACCAGGATGGTCTCGGTCTCTTAACCTTGTATCCACCCACCTCGGCCTCCCAAAGTGCTGGGATTATAGGCGTGAGCCACCACGCCCGGCCTCCACAGTGATTTAAGTAATTTAGAATGTGGCACAGACTTTTCTGCTTTTGTTTTTAATGGAGTTTTGCTCTTGTTGCCTCGTTGTTGCCCATGCTGGAGTACAATGGTGCAATGTCAGTTCAACACAATCTCCACCTCCTGGGTTCAAGTGATTCTCCTGCCTCAGCCTCCCACAGTACTGGGATTACAGGTGTGAGCACCGTACCAGCCTAATTTTTAGCTCTTAAAAGACAGATAATTTATACTGAATAGAAACTACAAACCTGAAAGATGTGATAGTGCTTTTAACAACACCTCAAATTTTTCCAAACATAAAAGAAATTATACTGGTGCAAAACCCTAGTAATATGAAGAATGTTACAAAGCCTTTAAATGGTCATCACAGTCTACTGTAGCTAAGATCATTCATACTGGAGAAAACTCCCAATTGTGAAGAATATGGTAAAATTTAAATGCTCACACCTTATTGCACAGGAAAACATTTATGCTTGGGAAAACACGTACAAAGATAAAGGATGTGGAAAAGTCATTAATATCTCCTCACTTCTTAACATCAGAAAGATCATACTTAAAAGCACTATAGGTACAAGTGCTGTAAAGTCGTCTTTCAGAAAATACAAGCCTTCAAAGTACAGTATTTATTCTGAGGGCAGATGTTACAAATATGAAGAAGACTAGTATTTTTACTTACATCACAGATCTTGTTGTACACACTTTGTACTGTAGGAAAACCCTGAAGCAATTGCTCAAACTTCATCATCTGGGAGTTTTTTTAAATCCAGCAAATGTAATAAATTTGAAAAAAAAAAAACAAAACACTTTTTTTCAAGAACAGCTTAGAAAACACTGGAGACCTCATACTAAAATATATTATTGCAGATGTAATAAGTGAAAAAATATTCAGGTTGGGCGTGGTGGTTGATGCCTGCAATCCCAGCACTTTGGGAGGCCAAGGCAGGCAGATCACCTGAGGTCAGGAGTTGAAGACTAGCATGGCCAACATGGTGAAGTACTGTCTCTATGGAAAATACAAAAATTAGGCAGGTGTGGTGGCTGGCACAGGTAATCCCAGCTACTTGGGAGGCTAAAGCAGGAGAATCGCTTGAGCCCAGGAGGCAAGTCAAGATTGCACCATTGTACTTCAGCTTGGGTAACAGGAGAAAAACTCCATCTCAAAAAAAAAAATAAAATTAATTCCAAATTGAGTCAGTGGAAATACCATTAAGTTCACAGAGAAATGTCTTAGGCCCTGAAACTTCAAACATTACACTAAATAACAGTGGTGAGTATAGAAAATAATCTGAAAGTAATCTAAAACTAATGTTTCTAGAGAAATTATTTATATATAACTTTTAAAAAGTAGGAGATACTTTGATAAGTTATAATTACATTAGAAGTATACTTTTTCCTTGAAAATAATATGGATTTTTTTGTTTTCAAGATGGAGTCTCACTGTCACCCAGGCTGAAGAGCAGTGGCATGAACTAGGCTCAGTGCAACCACTGTTTCCTGGTTCCAGGTATTCTCTTGCCTCAGCCTCCTGAGTCGGTGAGACTACAGGCAAGAGCCACCATGCCCAGCTAATATTTGTATTTTAGTAGAGATGGAGTTTCACCCTGCTGACCAGGCTGGTCTCAAACTCTTGTCCTCAGGTGATCCACCCACCTCAGCTTCCCAAAGTGCTGGGATTACAGGTATGGGACACCATGCCTAACCAAAATTTGAATTTTTGAAAAGCAAATGATGTAATTCAAGTATCAAATTACTTCATGCTGTTTTTTCATTCCTATTCACATGTAAAAGCATGTGATCAGTTATTGCTGTATCAGAGATGTAAGAGGTTCTTATTAGGTGAGCATTAGTTATGATCCTTTTTATAAAAGAGTAAAAGGACATTAAATGTAACATGTATAAGAGGGAGAGGCTGTTTTTGATTAATTTTTTGAGTGATGTATAAGGTAGGTGTTCAGAGTAATGTTCTGTATTATAGTGAGAAAAAAACATGATTATGTATGAACTTAATTTTTTTTTTTTTTGTGATGGAGTTTCGCTCTTGTTACCCAGGCTGGAGTGCAATGGCACGATCTCGGCTCACCACAACCTCCGCCTCCTGGGTTCAGGCAATTCTCCTGCCTCAGCCTCCTGAGTAGCTGGGATTACAGGCACGCGCCACCATGCCCGGCTAATTTTTGTATTTTTAGTAGAGACGGGATTTCACCTTGTTGACCAGGATAGTCTTGATCTCTCGACCTCGTGATCCATCCGCCTCGGCCTCCCAAAGTGCTGGGATTATAGGCGTGAGCCACCACGCCTGGCCCAGTCTACAATTTTTATACTTAAGTCACCTAAATATAGCTAACTACTTGGTCATTGGTAAGTGACTGATAATAACAATTTATATCATTTTAGTGACTGAGAAAATATTTGTTAATTATTCAGTAAAAAAGTTTATATTATTTCTGACACTTTTAGAATCTAGACTACTAAAAAAAGGATGATGTATACGCATACCACAGATTCTTTTTTTTTTTTTTTTTTTGAGACGGAGTTTTGCTCTTGTTGCCCGGACTGGGGTGCAATGGCGCAATCTTGGCTCACTGCAACCTCTGCCTCCTGGGTTCAAGCAATTCTTCTGCTTCAGCCTCCCAAGTAGCTGGGACCACAGGCATGCACCACCATGCCTGGCTGATTTTTTTTGTATTTTTAGTAGAGACAGGGTTTCACTGTGTTGGCCAGGATGGTCTCGATCTCGTGATCCACCTGCCTCAGCCTTCTGAAGAGCTGGGATTACAGGCGTGAGCCAGTATGCCTGGCCCAAAAAAAAAAAAAAATCAATATATTTCAAAAGTAAAAATGCTCTTCTAAGTCATAAGAGGGATGTCATTGTTAGATTCTATTTACCAAACTGTTTGCATTAAACATAGTAAATGAGTACTTTATTAAACCAAAAATTAAGTTCTACATACTATCCAAAAGTTTTAAAACGTGGCTTTTGGGCCGGGTGCAGTGGCTCACACCTGCAATCTCAGCTTGAGGTCAGGAGTTCAAGACTAGCCCTGTGAACATGGTGAAATCCCATTTCTACTATAAATACATATATTTAAAAAAACTTGGTGTAGTGGCGCACGCCTGTAGTCCCAGGTACTTGGGAGGCTGAGGCAGGAGAATCGCTTGAACGAGCTGAGATTTTGCCATTGCACTCCAGCCTGGGCAACAAAAGCAAAACTATGTCTAAAAAAATATTAGCCAGGTGGCATGCCTGTAGTCCCAGCTACTCTCGAGGCTGAGGCAGAAGAATCGCTTGCACCCAGGAGATAGAGGTTGCAGTGAGCCAAGATCATGCTACTGCATGTTTTTTCTTTCTTTTCTTTTTTTTCTCTCTTCTTTGTCTTTCTTCTTTCCTTCCCCTTTCTTTTTTTTCTCCTTTTTCTTTCTCTCCTCCCCGCCCCTTGCTTTCTGAAACCCTGTGTCTACTAAAAAGACAAAAAAAATTTAGCCGGGCGTGGTGGTGCATGCCTATAGTCCCAACTAGCTTGGGAGGCTGAGGCACAAGAATCACTTGACCCCAGGAGACAGAGGTTACAGTGAGTTGAGATCGTGCCACTGCACTCCAACCTGGGCCACAAAGGGAGACACTGTCTTACCAAAAAAAAAAAAAAAAAAAAAAGGCCAGGCTCAGCTCAGGCTTGTAATCCCAGCAATTTTGGAGGCTGAGGCCCATCTGGCTAACATCGTGAAACTCCATGTCTTAAAAAAAAAGAAGTGTGTATGTGTATACATCATTTAACCAATATATTATTGGTGACTCTTTGGATTCACTTAAAAAATTTTTATTAAAATAAGTTCTGGGGTACATGTGCAGATCATGCAGGTTTGTTACATAGGTTTTTAACCTAGCATCTAGGAGTTTTTCATGTTTAGTTCCCAGAAGAATAAAAAGAGCTGTTTTAAGAGCTAATGGAAGGTGAAAATGCCCGTGCAGTTAGCCCTGACTTGCTCAGCCATGTTTATTGTTTGGGGTCTGGAGTTCTTTTCTCTTTTCCTCTCGCTCCTCTCTCTCTCTCTTCCTCCCTCTCTCCCTCTCTCCCCACTCTCTCCCTCTCTCCTCCCTCTCCCTCTCTCTCTCTCTCTCTCCTTCCCCCTCTCCCTTCCCCTTCCCCTGTCCTGGTAAATAATGACACTGCTGGCTGGCCTTGCCTTTGGAGCACTGGAGGATTGTTAGCCCCATGTGGAGGCAGGTGTGGAGCAGTTTGACCTGGCTCTCGGGTGCTCCAGCTTCTCATCCACACTGGAGCTGACATGCCTGTAGAAGCCCCTGGGCCAGGTCATAACGTGGACGCCACTGCACCTCATTCCCCACCCTTTTGTTTGCAGGACACGGGGAACAGAATGGTCCACATGATCCAAAAGAGGTCCTGAACACAGTGCAGTGCTTTGAAGGTTAAGCCCAGGGCTGGAGACAAGAGCCAGCTGGCAGAGAAGAGGGCACCAGCCAACAGAAGGGCATGGGCTGGGCTGCTGGCCACTGAGGCTGGGTTGAAATGCTGGGACAGGTTGGAAATGCCAAGTCCAAGAACATACAAGAGCTGTGACACACTCCACAGTGTCTGTAGAAACATTCACTAAACACAAACCTCGGTCAGCAGAGTCAAGCCCTTCCGCCATTATCTCCTCAAAACAGGAGGGGATTATGGATGCTCCAGAAGAAGGCGTTGAGTATGCCGGAGTGGCTGTTCTCAGTGCCCTGGGGTCCCCCAAGTTTCCTGCACTCCTGAGGCCAGCAGCTCAAGCAGCAGCAGTAGTGGGGGGGGGGGCTTAGGCCCGGCTCCTGGGTCTGCCTTTAGTTATGTCCCCAGGCCTGGAGGTGGGATGTGGTGTCATGGTGCAGGGAGAGAGCCACATGCAGAGGTGGACTGCCACGGGCTCAGCAGACAGCAGTAAAATAATCAAGGGCTGCACACTACATCTTTGCTTACAGCTGCAGAACACATCCAATAATGTATAAGGAAATGCATTTTAGAGAGCACATGTAGTCCTTTATCAAGATAAAAACTCCCAGCAGGGCATTGTGGGTAACCCCCCTTCTGGGCACCGAGGAAGGAGAGCTAAGTAGCCCCCGAGCACAACTAGTGCCTGAAGAATAACATACTGCTCATTTCTTTCCTTTTATATAATCATATCTTAGTTCATAGTTGGAGGAGTGTCAAGAGCAGACACGGTGCAGAGCATGAACTAGGGAAAAACAGCCATACCAGGACAAAAATCAGTGGCCTGGGTGGTAGTGCCCCTGCCTGAAAGGGCATGTGCTACACGGCAGTCCGGCCCAGGCGGCAGCGTTCAGTATTATAAAGATACCCGCTGTACAGCAGGCCTGGAGCAAGAGTCACTCCTGTAAGGGAGTTGCATCGTGTCCAGTTCTTATGGAAAGCTGGCCTCTGGCCCCCAATCCCGCGAACATCCAAGGACTTAAAACCCCTCTGGTATAATCACACGTAGGTGGCTGTAAATCCTGTCAGCTCTCTTGCTACTCTGCTGACTTGAAACTCCTTCCATAGAAAGTCTTAGAAGTTGCCTACCCCTAGATCAGAGATGTTGCACACTGCACCCTCCTTGCCTCGGTAACCTAATTGGAGGGGGGCCTTGTACTGCCCACCTCTTTGACTCGGTGACCTAATGGGGGTGGACCCCTTATTGCTCACATAATTGTCTTGACCCTATCACTACCCTTAAGATGACCTCACTCATGACCCTTCCCCACCTTGGATCCAGCGCCAAAACACAGAGATGGGGGCACCCCATGACCCTAGTAGGGCTGGACCCTACGAGGCATGGTGGCTCATGCCTGTAATCCCAGCACTTTGGAAGCCAAGGTGGGCAGATCACCTGAGGTCAGGAGTTTGAGACAAGCCTGGTCAACATGGTGAAACCCCATTTCTACTAAAAATACAAAAATTAGCCAGGCATGGCAACCGGCACCTGTAATCCCAGCTACTTGGGAGGCTGAGGCAGGAGAATCATTGGAACACAGGAGGGGGAGGCTTCAGGTAGCTGAGCTTGAATTGATTTTTCTGTCACCCAGGCTTGAGTGCAGTGGCACGATCTTGGCTCACTGCAACCTCTGCTTCCTGGATTCAAGCAATTCTCCTCAGCGCCCTGAGTAGCTGGGACTACAGGTGTGAACCACCATGCCTGGCTAATTTTTATATTTTTAGTAGAGATGGGGATTCACTATTTTGGCCAGGCTGGTCTTGAACTCCTGACGTCAAGTTATCCAACCCCCTCAGCCTCCCAAAATGCTAGGATTACAGGAGTGAGCCACTGTGCCTGGCCTGAATTCAATTCTTTTAATTAGAAAGCTTTCAAAATATCCCAATGTTAAATACCCGAAGACAAACTTGTATCTTTAGGAAGCCTTATCTCTAGAAGTTGTAAGAGAAGTTGTCTAAGCCATTAATCAATACCTTTTTAAGTATAAAATAAAATATCAACAAAAAAATCAAGCTCATATTACAATAAAAATTAAGAAAGTTGATCTACATATATTGATCGGTAAAAGTTTTACATACCAAAATCTCCAAGGCCAATAGAATATCTAGGGCCGGGTGCGGGGGCTTACACCTGTAATTCCAGCACTTTGCAAGGCTGAGGCGGGTGGATCACCTGACGTCAGGAGTTCGAGATCAGTCTAACCAACATGGAGAAACCCTGTATCTACTAAAAATATAAAAAATTAGTCAGGTGTGGTGGTGCATACCTGTAATCCCAACGACTCAGGAGGCCAAGGCAGAAGAATCACTTGAACCCAGAAGGCAGAGGTTGCAGAGAGCCGAGATCACACCATTACATTCCAGCCTGGGCAACAAGAGTGAAACTCCATAACTATCTCTATCTATTATCTATCTATCTATCTATCTATCTATCTATCTATCTATCTATCTATCTATCTATCTCTATCTATCTATCTCTATCATCTATCTATATCTATCTATCTCTATCTATCTATATCTATCATCATCTATCTATCTATCATCTATCTATATCTATCATCGTCTATCTATCATCTATCTATCTATCCATCATCTGTCTATCTATCATCTGTCTATGTATGTATATACTTGATTACCCAGTTAGAGCAGGGAGTAAGTCATCTCAGCTGGCTCCAGGTAGGGGGAAACATCCTGAAAACAGAACACATGCTGAGCTCATGGGGAGCAACTTTGTAATAAAACCTCAAAACTTGGGCAAGACACTCAACCATGCACACTGAGGGGCAAAATAGCGGAGTTTAACTGATATATGACCTTTCTCTGGCACTTGATCTCACTTGATCTCTTGATTCTTTCCCAAGGGCACTTTATTTCCTTTCAGGAACACCCCATTTATGCTTCAAACTCACTCTTTGTCTCTGTGCTAGATTACTTGAGACTGGAAAAAACAAAATCAGTGCAAACCTATATGGACCAGCGATTGGTCACATGGTAATCGTGAAGAATGATTTATTTTTTATTGCTGGCAATTTATTATTCTCCAAATTAAAAATAACATCTGATTTACATTTAAGATTTTTATTATATGAAGCTTAGCTTTTCATGTCTTCAGAAATAACTGTCAATTCTTTTTCCAAGGATTAACAATTACACTGCTGTGTTTATATCTCTTGAGATTATTCGATGTGAAGAAGCTTTTATAAACAAGTGTTTACAAACAGAATTATCTGAGGTGGAATTTCTCATATTTTGCAACTCATAAATCAACACATTGTAAGAAAGCTGTGAATTTCGGAATGGCAAGAACAGACTCCAGATTTGTTCACCCGGGAATTTATGGAGTATTTACCACTGAGGCACCTTCACTACCCTTAACGTTCTGTTGAAGGGCCAGTAAGAACCTGTTAATTTCAACCTGCAAGAGTCTTGCCATTTTAGGGTCAGCATTAAAAATAAGAGAAAGGCAATTTTCTCATATTCTCCATCTGTAATTAAGCGAGTAAACAAAGCAAAAGGTGACTATTCAGACCATCTGCTCTGTCTTCTGTGGATTCCCTGAGGTTTCTAGATTTTTGAATTCAACAGTATTATGATAATTCTGTGCTTTTGCAATCTACAAATATGCGTTCCAGCCAGAGATCAGAGTTGCAGTTTTTTGAACTAATCACTGTTGGTAAAGCCTTTCCCTCCTGCTCAGTTTTTAAAGATAGGGCAGGTCAGGGAGGCTCATGCCTGTAATTCCAGCACTTTGGGAGGCTGAGACAGGCAGATGACTTGAATTCAGCAGTTCAAGACCAGCCTAGCCAACATGGTGAAATTCTCTCTCTACTAAAAATATAAAAAAATCAGGCTGGGCACGGAGGCTCATGTCTGTCATCTCAGTACTTTCGGAGGCCGAGGCGGGTGAATCACAAGGTCAGGAATTTGAGACCAGCCTGACCAACATAAACCCCGTCTCTATTAAAAATACAAAAATTAGCTGGGCGTGGCGGCACGTGGCTGTAATCCCAGCTACTAGGGAGGCTGTGGCAGGAGAATCTCTTGAACACGGAGGCAGAAGTTGCAGTGAGCCAAGCAAGGTCACACCACTGTACTCCAGCCTGGTGACAGAGTGAGACCCTGTCTCAAAGATATCATAATAAAAAATTAAAAAATAAATTTAGCTGGATGTGGTGGCACATGCTTTTAATCCCAGCTACTTGAGAGGCTGAGGGCAAGAGGATCCCATGGACCCAGGAGGCAGAAGTTGCAGTGAGCTGACATCATGCCACTGCAGTCCAGCCTCGGTGACAGAGCAAGACTACATTAAAAAAAAAACCCAGTAATTTGAATCAGTAATTAGTGCTACCCTGCCAGAAATGTGTACAGTTTAAAGACAAGTAAATGAATTGGCTAAAAGTGCAATTATTACGTAGTGAGGTGAAAGCTGGAACACTGCGAATCCCATTTTCTCTCTTTAGATATTTCCAAGGCTTTATACTGTGTTTCCAAGTAACATTAAGAGCATATAACCTGAAGAACAACACATTTCAGCTGTTTCTAGAAGTTATACTTCATTATTGGAGCAGGGGAAAGCAATTTGAAGGGCATTATTAGCTAATTTAATCTGAATTTTGCCAGAAACATTTTAAGTTCTAAATATAGGGTCCACTTGCTATGCAAATTTAGATTGTTATTATTATAGTTTAGGTCAAGATGAACAAAGAAGAAAAGCACGGAGACTGAGGCAGGCAGATTACCTGAGGTCAGGAGTTTGAGACCAGTCTGGCCAGTATGGTGAAACCCCATCTCTTCTAAAAATACAAAAATTCGCTGGGTGTGGTGGTGCATGCCTGTAATCTCAGCTACTCAGGAGGCTGAGGCAGGATAATCACTTGAATATGGGACATGGGAGTTTGCAGTGAGCTGATACCATGCAACTGCACTCCAGCCTGGGGGACAAGAGCAAAACTCTGTCTAAAAAAAAAAAAATGTTGGCCAGGATGGTCTCGATCTCCTGACCTTGTGATCTGCCCACCTTGGCCTCCCACACTTCTGGGATTCCAGGTGTGAGCCACTGTGCCCGGCCGAAGGTGGATGATTTCTGCATTTCCAACTGAGGTACCCAGTTCATCTCATTGGGACTGGTTAGGCAGTGAATGCAACCCATGGAGGGTGAGCAGAGGCAGGGTGGGGTGTCACTTCACCAGGGACCTCCCTCCCCCAGCCAAGGGAAACCACGAGGAACTGGGTTTCTGGCTGGGTTACTACGGTTTTCCCACAGTTTTTGCAATCTGCAGATCAGGAGATTCCCTCGTGTGCCTACAGCACCAGGGTCCTGAGTAATAAGCACACAACTGGGTGGCTGTTTGGGCAGACACCAAGCTAGCTACAGGAGTTTTTTTTTTTTCCATAACCCAGTGACATCTGTAGCCCCAGCAAGACAGAACCATTCATTCCTCTGGAAAGGGGCTGAAGCCAGGGAGCCAAGTGGTCTCATTCAGCGTGTCTCAATCTCACTGAGCCTGGCAAGCCAAGAACCACTGGCGTGAAATTCTCGCTGCCAGTACAGCAGTCTGAGGTTGACCTGGAATGATCGAGTTTAGGGAGGGAAGGGGCATGCTCCATTACTGAGGCTTTTTCTCTTTCTCATTACGAGGAGGTTTTCTCCTGACAATGCTAAGGAGGCTGAGGGGTCTGGAGTGGGCGGAATTCAGGATAGCATGGCAAAGTGCTTGTGGCCAGACTCCTTCTCTAGATTCCTCCTCATTGGGCAGAGCATCCCTGAAGGAAAGGTAACAGTTCCACTCAGGGGCTTAGAGACAAAACCCCATCTCTGTGGGACAGAGCACCTGAGGAAAAGGGAGGAGCAGCTGTGGGTGCAGCTTCTGCGGATTTAATCATTCCTGACTGCTGGCTCTGAAGAGAATAGCTGCCCATCACAAGAGGGATTCTCCCAGCACAGCACACCAGCTCTGCTAAGGGACAGACTCCCTCCTCAACTGGGTCCCTGATGATCAGCCCTGTGCCTCCTGACTGGGAGAGACCTCCCAACACGGGTCGATAGACACCTCAGACAGGAGAGCTCCAGCTGGAATCAGGCTAGTGCCCCTCTGGGAGGAAGCTTCCAGAGGAAGTAGGCAGCAATTCCTGCTATTCTGCAGCCTCTACTGGTGATGTCAGGTGAACAGGGTCTGGAGTGGACCTCCAGCAAACTGCAGCAGCCCTGCAGAAAGGGGCCAGACTGTTAGAAGAAAAACTAACAGAAAGCAACAGCAGGGCCGGGCGCGGTGGCTCACGCCTATAATCCCAGCACTTTGGGAGGCCGAGGCGGGTGGATCACGAGGTCAAGAGATCGAGACCATCCTGGTCAACAAGGTGCAACCTCATCTCTACTAAAAATACAAAAAATTAGCTGGGCATGGTGGGGTGCACCTGTAGTCCCAGCTACTCGGGAGGCTGAGGCAGGAGAATTGCTTGAACCCAGGAGGTGGAAGTTGCAGTGAGCCAAGATTGCTCCATCGCACTCCAGTCTGGGTAACAACAGCAATACTCTGTCTTGGAAAAAAAAAAAAAAAAAAAGAAAGCAACAACATCAATATAAAGGACCACCATATAAATACCCCATCCGATGTCATCAGCCTCAAAGACCAAAGGTAGATAAATCCATAAATATGAGGAAAAAATCAGTGAAAAAATGCAGAAAATTCCCAAAACCAGAATGCCTCTTCTCTAAATGTCACAACCCCTCTCCAGCAAGGGCACAAAACTGGATGGAGAAGACTAGGCATGGTGGCTCACATCTGTAATCCCAACACTTTGGGAGACCAAGAGAGTTGGATCACAAGGTCAGGAGTTCAAGACTGGTCTGGTCAAGATGGTGAAACCCTGTCTCTACTAAAAATATAAAAATTAGCTGGTTGAGGTGGCAGCTGCCTGTAATCCCAGCTACTCAGGAAGCTGAGGCAGGAGAATCACTTGCACTGCATGACAGAAGCTGCAGTGAGCTGAGATCGTGCCACTGCACTCCAGCCTGGGCAATAGAGGAGGAGTCTGTCTGAAAAAAAAAATGAATGGAGAATGAGATTGACAAATTGACAGAAGTAGGCTTCAGAAGGTGGGTAATAACAAACTCCTCTGAGCTAAAGGAGCATGATCTAACCCAATGCAAGGAAGCTAAGAACCTCGATAAAAGGTGACAGAAACTGCTAATTAGAATAACCAGTTTAGACAGGAACATAAATGACCTGATGGAGCTGAAAAACAGCAGGAGAACTTTGTGAACCACACACAGTTATCAATAGCCAAACCGATCAAGCCAAAGAACCAATATCAGAGACGGAAATCAACTTAATAGAAAAAGTTGTGAAGACAATATTAGAGAAAAAAGAATAAAAAAGAATGAACAGAGCCTCCAAGAAAGATGGGACTATGTGAGAAGAGCAAACCTATGACTGACTGGCATACCTGAAAGTGATGCAGAGAACGAAACCAAGCTGGAAAACACACTTTGAGGATATTATCTAGGAGAATGTCCCAAACCTAGCAAGACAGGCCAACATTCAAATTCAGGAAATATAGAGACCACCACTAAGATACTCCTCGAGAAGAGCAACCCCAAGACACATACTCATTAGATTCTCCAAGTTTGAAATAAAGAAAAAAATGTTACCTGCAGTCAGAGAGAAAGGTCTGATTATGTACAAAGGGAAGTCCGTCAGATTAATGGTGGATCTCTCTGCAGAAACAGTGTAAGCAAGAAGAGAGTAGGGGCCAATACTCAACATTCTTAAAGAAAATAATTTTCAACTCAGAATTTTATATATAGTCAAACTAAGCTTTATAAGTGAAAGAGAAATAAAATCCTTTACAGAAAAGCAAAGGCTGAGGGGTTTTGTCACCACCAGGCCTCCCTTACAAGAGCTCCTGAAGGAAGCACAAAATGTGGAAAAGAAAAACTGGTAGCAGCCACTGCAAAAACACATCAAAATATAAAGTCCTATGAAACTATGAAGAAACTGCATCGACTAATGTGCAACATTACCAGCTGGCATCATGATGACAGGATCCAATTCACACATAACAGTATTACAATTACATGTAAATGGGCTAAAGCCCCAATTAAAAGACACAGATGGACAGATTGGATGAAGAGTCAAGACCCATCAGTATGCTGTATTCAGGAGACCCATCTTACGTGCAAAGACACACACAGGCCCAAAATAAAGGGATGCAGGAATATTTACCATGCAAATGGAAAGCAAAACAAATAAACAAGAACAAAAGGCAGGGTTTGCAATCCTAGTCTCTACTAAAACAGACTTTAAATCAATAAAGATAAAAAAAAGACAAAGAAGGGCATTACACAATGGTAATGGGAACAGTGCAACAAGAATCACTAATTATCCTAAATATATATGCACCCAGTACGGGAGCACCCAGATTTTTAAAACAAGTTTTTAGAGACCGACAAAGAGACTTAGACTCCCACATAATAATACTAGGAAACTTTAACACTGCATCTGTCAATATTAGACAGATCAATGAGACAGAAAACTAACAAGGATATTCAGGACTTGAACTCAGCTCTGGACTAAGCATACCTAATAGACATCTACAGAACTCCCCACCCCAAATCAACAGAATATACATTTTTTTCAGTGCTACATAGCACTTATTCTAAAATCAACCACATAATTGGAAGCAAAACACTCCTCAGCAAATGCAAAATAACTGAAATCATAACAAACAATCTTTCAGACCACAGTGCAATCAAATTAGAACTCAGGATTAAGAAACTCACTCAAAACTGCACAACTACATGGAAACTGAACAGCGTGCTCCTGAATGACTACTGGGTAAATAATGAAATAAAGGCAGAAATAAAGAAGTTATTTGAATCCAATGAGAACAGAGATAATGTACCAGAATCTCTGGGACACAGCTAAAGCAGTGTTAAGAGGGAAACTTACGACACCAAAGACCCACATCAGAAAGCTGAAAAGATCGATAATCAACAGCCTAACATCACAATTAAAAGAACTAGAGAAGTAAGGACAAATAAATTTAAAAGCTAGCAGAAGACAGGAAATAACTAAGATCAGAGTAGAAATGAAGGAGACAGAGACAAAAATTCCTTCAAAAAACTAATAAATCCAGGAGCTGTTTTTTGAAGAGATTAACAAAATACACAGACACTAGCTAGACTAATAAAGAAGAAAAGAGAAGAATCAAATAGACTTAATAAAAATAAGGGGATATCACCACTGATCTCACAGAAATACAAACTACCATCAAAGAACACTACAAACACCTCTATACAAATAAATTAAAAAACGTAGAAGAAACGGACAAATTTCTGGACACATACCCCCCTCCCTAGACTAAACTAGGAAGAAGTCAAATCCCTGAATAGATCAATAACAAGTTCTGAAATTGAGGCAGTAATCGCCTACCAACCAGAAAAAGCCCAGGACCAGACATATTCACATCCAAATTTTACCAGAGGTACAAAGAGGAACTGGTATCATTCCTTCTGAAACTATTCCAAACAATAGAAAAAGAGGGACTCCTCCCTAACTCATTTTATGAGGTGAGCATCATCCTGATTCCAAAACTTGGTGGAGACACAACAAAAAAAGAAAATTTCAGGCCGATATTCCTGACGAACATCAATGCAAAAATCCTCAATAAAATACTGGCAAACTAATTCCAGGAGCACATCAAAAAGCTTATCCACCACGACCAAGTTGGCTTTATCCCTGGGATGCAAGGTTGGTTCAACATACACAAATCAATAAATGTAATCCATCATGTAAACAGAACCAATGACAAAACCACGTGATTATCTCAATAGACACAGAAAAATCCTTCGATAAAATTTAACATCCCTTCATGATAAAAACTCTGAATTAACTAGGTATTGATGGAACATATCTCAAAATAATAAGGGCCATTTATGATAAACCCATAACCAATATCATACTGAATGGGCAAAAGCTGGAAGCATTCCCTTTGAAAACTGGCACAAGACAAGGATGCCCTCTCTCACCACTATTATTCAACAAAGTATTGGAAGTTCTGGCCAAAGCAAGGAGGCAAGAGAAAGAAATAAAGGATATTTAAATAGAAAGAGAGGAAATCAAATTTTCTATTTGCAGATGACATGATTGTATATTTAGAAAAACCCATCATCTCAGCCCAAAAACTGCTTAAGCTGATAAGCAACTTCAGCAAAGTCTCAGGATACAAAATCAATGTGTAAAAATTACAAGCATTTCTATACACAATAATAGACAAACATAGGGCCAAATCACATGTGAACTCCCATCCAAAATTGCTACAAAGAGAATAAAATACCTAGGAATACAACTTACAATGGATGTGAAAGACTTCTTCAAGGAGAACTACAAACCACTGCTCAAGGAAGAGAGGACACAAACAAGTGGGAAAAAATTCCATGCTCATGGATCGGAAGAGTCAATATCATGAAATTGGCCATTCTGCCCAAAGTACCTTATAGATTCAATGCTACTCCCATCAAGCTACCATTGACTTTCTTTGCAGATTAGAAAAAACTACTTTAAATTTCATATGGAACCAAAAATGAACCCAGATAGCTAAGACAATCCTAAGCAAAAAGAACAAAGCTGGAGGCATCATGTTACCTGACTTCAAACTATACTACAAGACTACAGTAACCAAAACAGTATGGTATATATCTGGTCTAACCAGATATATAGACCAATGGAACAGAACAGAGCCTCAGAAATAATACCACACATCTACAACCAACTGATCTTCAACAAACCTGACAAAAATAAGCAATGGGGAAATAATTTTCTATTTAAGAAATGGTGCTGGGAAAACTGGCTAGCCAGTATGTGGAAAACAAAAACGGAACCCCTTCCTTATACCAGACAAAAATTAACTCAAGATGAATTAAAGACTTAAATGTAAAACCTGGCCTAGACGGTGGCTCACGCCTGTAATCCTAGAATTTTGGGAGGCTGAGGCAGGTGGATCACTGAGGTCAGAAGTTTGAGACCAGACTGACCAACCTAGAGAAACCCCATCTCTACTAAAAATACAAAATTAGGCCAGGCACAGTGGCTTACGCCTATAATCCCAGCACTTTGGTAGGCTGAGGCGGGTGGATCACGAGGTCAAGAGATCGAGACCATCCTGGTCAACATGGTGAAACCCTGTCTCTACTAAAAATACAAAAATTAGCTGGGCATGGTGGTGCACGCCAGTAGTCCCAGCTATTAGGGAGGCTGAGGCAGGAGAATTGCTTGAACCCAGAAGGCGGAGGTTGCGGTGAACCGAGATCATGCCATTGCATTCCAGTCTGGGTAACAAGAGCAAAACTCCGTCTCAAAAACAAAACAAAAACAAAATTAGCTCGGCGTGGTGGCACATGCCTGTAATCCCAACTACTCGTGATGCTGAGACAGGAGAATAGCTTGAACCCAGGAAGCAGAGGTTGTAGTGAGCTGAAATTTTGCCATTGCACTCCTTCCTGGGTGACAAAAGTGAAACTTTCAAAAAAAAAAAATAATAATGTATTTGGTTACTGTAGATTTGTAGTATGAAAAAGAAAAAAATAGTAAAACCCAAAACCGTAAAAACCCTAGAAGAAAACCTAGGCAATACCATTCAGGGCACAGTCATGGGCAAAGACTTCATGACTAAAACAGCAAAAGCAATTACAACAAAAGCCAAAATTGACAAATGGGAGCTAATCAAACTAAAGAGCTTCTGCACAGCAAAAGGAACTATCATTAGCCCAGCACAATGGCCCATGCCTGCAATCCCAGCACTTTGTGAGGCTGAGACAGGAGTTTGAGACCAGCCTCATCAACATGGAGAAACCCATTTCTACTAAAAATACCAAAAATTAGCTGGGCATGGTAGTACATACCTGTAATCCCAGCTACTCAGGAGACTGAGGCAGGAGAATCGCTTGAACCCAGGAAGCGGAGGTTGCAGTGAGCTGAGATCAGGCCATTGCACTCCAGCCTGGTCAACAAGAGCAAAACTTGATCAAAAAAAGGAAAGAAAAGAAGAGAGAAAGCTACCATTCTGACAAAGGTCTAATATCCATAATATACAAGAAACTTAAACGAATGTACAAGACAAAAACAACCCCATCAAAAAGTGTAATATCCATAATATACAAGAAACTTAAACGAATGTACAAGACAAAAACAACCCCATCAAAAAGTGGGCGAAGGATATGAACAGACACTTCTCAAAAGAAGACATTTGGTTGGGTGTGGTGGCTCACACCTGTAATCCCAGCACTTTGGGAGGCCGAGGCTGGTGGATCACAAGGTCAAGAGATCGAGACCATCCTGGTCAACATGGTGAAACCCCGTCTCTACTCAAAATAAAAAAAAATTAGCTGGTCATGGTGGCATGCGCCTGTAGTCCCAGCTACTCGGGAGACTGAGGCAGGAGAATTGCCTAAACCCAGGAGGCGGAGGTTGTGGTGAGCCGAGATCGCGCCATTGCACTCCAGCCTGGGTAACAAGAGCAAAACTCCATCTCAAAAAAAAAAAAAGAAAAGAAAACATTTATATAGCCAACAATCATGAAAAGAAACTCATCATCACTGGTTGTTAGAGAAATGCAAATCAAAACTGCAAGATACCATGTCATACCAGTTAGAATGACAATTATTAAAAAGTCAGGAAACGACAGATGCTGATGAGGCTGTGGAAAAATAGGAATGCTTTTACCCTGTTGGTGGGAGTATAAATTAGTTCAACCATTGTGGAACACGGTGTGGTGATTACTCGAGGATCTAGTACCAGAAATACCATTTGACCCAGGAATTTTATTACTGGGTATGCACCCAAAAGATTATAAATCATTCTACTATAAATATACATGCACATGTATGTTCATTGCAGCACTATTTACAATAGCAAAGACTTGGAACCAACCCAAATGCCCATCAATGATAGACTGGATAAAGAAAATGTGGCACAGCATGGAGTACTAGGCAGCCATAAAAAAGAATGAGTTCATGTCCTTTGCAGGGACATGTATGAAACTGAAAGCCACCATTCTCAGCAAACTAACACAGGAACATAAAACCAAACACTGCATGTTCTCACTCATAAGTGGGAAGTGAACAATGAGAACACAGGACAGACAGAGGGGAACATCACAAACAAGACCTCTCAGGGGGTTGGGAGCAAGGGAGGGAGAGCATTAGGACAAATACCTAACTAATTTGGGGCTTAAAACCCAGATGATGTGTTGCTGGGTGCAGCAAACTACCATGGCACAAGTATACCTACATAACAAACCTGCACATTCTGTACAACTGAAAGTAAAATAAAAATTTAAATTTAAATTTTAAAAAGTGAAAAATAAAACCATCAATAACAACATGATTTGAACCCTGTCGAAGGCCAATTTTATGCAAAAGCCCACTAATGGACATTGTTTCTATGTATAAAAACTTGTGCATACATTGAGGATATTTTGCAGAAACAAAAATCCTTACAAAACTCTGTTAATTCCAATATTACAGTTTGAAATTGGCCTGGGCTGACAATAACTTAAACAAGATTTCTAAACTTAGTACTAAAATAATAGAAGTAATCTTATATGAATTATTAATTTTAAAAAACGGAAGCAAAGATTATTATAAAGACAGTACCATGTATCCTACTTAATAGAATATTTCTATTTGTGTCTTTCTTTCTTTTTTTTTGAAACAGAGTCTCACTCTATCACCCAGTCTGGAGTGCAGTGGTGGGATCTCAGCTCACCGCAACCTCTGCCTCCCAGGTTCAAGAGATTCTCCTGCCTCAGCCTTCCAAGTAAGTGGGACTATATGTGTATGCCACCATGCCTCCCTACAGAGTGTGTGTGTGTATTTTTAGTAGAGATGAGGTTTCACCGTGTTAGAAAATTTTCACTTACTTTGAAATTTTCTTTAATTTGAAAATTGTCAAAGCTGTCTACACTCAAAGAAAAAAACAGAATAGTCTTCAGATTCTCTATCCAAGGCTTCTTTGAAGAGCTCAACAATAGGATCTGTGTTGCTTTTCATTTATATAGCAAAGATGGAAGCAAAAAAAATGGCAAAAAGAATATTAAAATATTAAAAAGAATCAGAAAACTTTCCAGAAATAATTTGGGTTTTTCCCTACCCAAAGCCACATCTTACCTGATTAAACTAGTATTTTCTTTATGTTTGTGTATGACTAAGTTCTTATAGCCTTAGGACCCTTTTAAATTGCATTCAGGAAATAAAGTTCAGGCTTAGAGGCAGGGCACTGTGGCTTACACCTGTAATCCCAGGACTCTGGGAGGCGGGGGCGGGCAGATCACTTGAGGTCAGGTGTTCAAGTCCATCCTGGCCAACATGGTGAAATCCCATTTCTACTAAAATTACAAAAAATAGCTTGGTGTAGTGGCTCACACCTGTAGTCTCAGCTACTTGGGAGGCTGAGGCAAGAGAATGGCTTGAACCTGGGAGGCAGAGGTTGCAGTAAGCTAAGATGGCGCCAGTGCACCATTTTGATTGAGAAATATTTAATACTCTAGGTAAAGATACCTGAAATACTGTAAAATTCAGTAAATACATTTATTGTCTTCCAGTGTGTTCATAGCATTTATAATTGGATGTCCAGAATAATATTTGTAGAAAATAAGCCTAAATTTACTTAGAAATGTATATAGAAATTTATGGCATTATGCTAAACAGGTATATTCAGGACAAATGTATTACAAAATTCTTTCGGGGTCTGGTGACTCACACCTGTAATCCTAGCACTTTGGGAGGCTGAGGTGGGTGGATCACTTGAGGTCAGGAGTTGGAGGCCACTCTGGCCAACATGGTGAAATGCAATCTCTACTAAAAATACAAAAATTAGCTGGGTGTGGTAGCACATGTGTGTAACCCCAGCTACTCAGGAGGCTGGGGCAGGAGAATCACTTGAATCCAGGAGAGAAAGGCTGCAGTGAGCTGAGGTGCCGAGACGGTGTCACTGCACTCCAGCCTGGGCGACAAGAGCAAGTGTTCAGACTCTTCATAATATTAAACCACTATTTACCTACATCACTAAATGAGCAAGGCATTTGACTTTGTATTTTTAGAGGAGATGGGATTTCACCATGTTGGCCAGGCTGGTCTTCAACTCCTGACACAGGTGATTGACCCACCTTAGCCTCCCAAAGTGCTGGGATTACAGGCGTGAGCCACAGCAGCTGGCCATCTTGATTTTTAATGTTCAAAATAATATAATACTTTAAAAGACAGACTCTAAAGCAACTGTTTAGAGTAAAATTCTAAGTGCCTAACTGATTTCCTTTATTAGAAAAAAAGGTATTTAAATATATTTTTTACACTACATTTAAATTTATCAAATGAACATACTTGGCCATGAGAAATGTATTAACTAAGTAGATAAGGAAACAATTTGCCTAATTTAAGACTGGCAAGTGCTCAACATTTAGGTGCTCATTTATCTAGTGTTACTGGCATGTTAAAGAGCAGTACTCGTGGCCGGGCATGGTGGCTCATGCCTATAATCTCAGCACTTTGGGAGGCTGAGGCGGGGGGATCATGAGGGTTAAGAGATCAAGACCATCCTGGTCAACATGGTGAAACCCCGTCTCTACTAAAAAATAGAAAAATTAGCTGGGCATGGTAGAGTCCCAGCTACTCGGGATGCTGAGGCAGAGCTGCTTGAACCCAGGAGGCGGAGGCTGCCGTGAGCCGAGATCGCGCCATTGCACTCCAGCCTGGGTAACAAGAGCGAAGGTCTGTCTCAAAAAAAAAAAAAAAAAAAAGAGCAGTACTCAATGAAAAATCTTTCCATCATATTTATATTCATCCTCTATGTGAATATGTGGGAATTTGCAAGGATAGTGTTGAAAGCATTCAATTTCCATTACAGCCCCAGAATGACTAGTTAGAACGAACATGGATTACAAACCACTGATGTGGCCACCTTGTTTTCAGGCTTTTTGTTGATTATGATGTAACAGAATCAACAAATAAAAGCTAATAAACTTCCCGTACACTCCCTATATGCTGGGCACTCTTCTGGCATCTTTATTTGCATTAATTGCGTCAACTTTACAGACCCCTGGAATTCAGGCACTATTATCCTCACCGTACAGCTGGAGAGTGAAGCACAGACGAGTCGTGAAACTGTATTCAGGTCATGCAGCCCATGAGCGGCAGAACTGAGATGCAACCAGGAACCACCTGATACGGAGTTTCAATCTTAACCACAATCCACAACACCCTTGCACCCAATTTTTGTTTTAATTCCTGAGCCCACATTTTGGCATCAAATTTTCTAATCTAGTGGAAATAAAGTATATCTTAAAACTTACTTTTTGGCTGGGAGCAGTGGCTCACGCCTGTAATCTCAGCACTTCGGGAGGTCAAGGTGGGTGGATCACCTGAGCTCGGGAGCTGGAGACCAGCCTGACCAACATGGAGAAACCTCGTCTCTACTAAAAATACAAAATTAACCAGTCGTGGTGGCACGTGCCTATAATCCCAGCTACTCAGGAGGCTGAGGCAGAAGAATCACTTGAACCCAGGAGGCAGGGGTTGCGGTGACCCGAGGTTGTGCCATTGCACTCCAGCCTGCACAAGAGCGAAAACTCCATCTAAAAAAAAAAAACAGAAAACAAACAAACAAAAACAAAACAAAACACTTTTTAAACTTTTATATACTACGTAGACATTGATTTTTGGTTTAAAGTACTCATTACTAAGCTTAACACAAATATTTTGGTAAACACATTCTAACGATACCCGTCTCATGACATTATAGAACTCTGGATTTTACTTTGGAAATATTTTAAATTTTTATATTAAAAGCCAGGATGAGCCTATAATAACACAGAAAATTTCTGTCTGTATGTACATCACAATCTATTGAGTGGTCTACAGTTGCTGAAAGTTTCCAAAAATCTAATACAAAAATACTCTTCCTCATTGAATATAGAATATTGTTTGCTCAGTGACAAGAGTGAAATAGATTGGAATTACTAATCAGTCACTTACCAATGACCAAGGAGGTGGCTACAGTTAGATGACTAAGAGCAAAAACCGTAGACTGAATTTCACCCACTCAAAAAATTATGTAAAACGAGTTATTTCTCCAAATTGTTATATCAATATGGAAAATAAGTATTACTCCGACTTTAAAATCCACAGAGGTCATTTTATTATTTTGCAACTCTAACTCACAACTACAAAACAGAAAATTCTGCATAGAAATATAACTTGTGCTCTAAGTATGCTACGGTAAAATTAAAACATCTTCAGCTGGGCACGCTGGCTCACACCTGTAATCCCAGCACTTTGGTAGGGCGAGGTGGGCAGATCACAAGATCAGGAGTTTAAGATCAGCCTGGCTAGCACGGTAAAACCCCGTCTTTACTAAAAAATACAAAAAATTAGCTGGGTATGGTGGCGCACTCCTGTGATCCCAGCTACTTGGGAGAGTGAGGCAGGAGAATTGCTTGAACCCAGGAGGCGGAAAAGCACTGCAGTGAGCCAAGCTCGTGCCACTGCACTCCAGTCTGGACGACAGAGTAAGACTCCCTCTAAAAAAAAATCTTCAATTACTATAACTCTTAAAAATCTGTTTTCAGAGGCTGGGTGTGGTGGCTCACGCCTGTAATCCCAGCACTTTGGGAGGCCGAGGCCGGTGGATCACAAGGTCAAGAGATTGAGACCATCCTGGTCAACATGGTGAAACCTCATCTCTACTAAAAATACAAAAATTAGCTGGGCATGGTGGTGCACGCCTGTAATCCCAGCTACTCAGGAGGCTGAGGCAGGAGAATTGCCTGAACCCAGGAGGCGGAGGTTGTGGTGAGCTGAGATCGCGCCATTGCACTCCAGCCTGGGTAACAAGAGCAAAAACTCCGTCTCAAAAAAAAAAAAAAAAAAATCGAGATCATCCTGGCAAAATGGTGAAACCCAATCTCTAATAAAAATACAAAAATCAGCTGGGCGTGTTGGCGGATGTCTGTAGTCCCAGCTACTCCGGAGGCTGAGGCAGAATTGCTTGAACCCGGGAGGCGGAGGTTGTAGTGAGGTGAGATCGCGCCACTGCACTCTAACCTGGCAACAGAGCGAGATTCCGTCTCAAAAAAAGTTTTTTAAAATCACTTTTCAAACATAGTTTCTGGCCAGGTGCAGTAGCTCATGCCTGTAATCCCAGCACTTTCAGAGGACAAGGTGGGCAGATCACTTGAGGTTTTGAGTTCAAGAATAGCCTGGCCAACATGGTGAAACCCTGTCTCTACTAAAAATACAAAAATTAGCTGTAATCCCAGCTACTCGGGAGGCCAGGACAGAAGTGCTGAACCTGGGAGGTAGAGGTTGCAGTGAGCCAAGAAAAAAAAAAAAAAAGAAAAAGAAAGAAAAAAAGAGTCTCTAACAAATTATTTAGCACACTTTGTGTTAGAATCGAATAGATTTTTCTGGAGAGGTGCAGTGACTCACACCTGTAATCTCAACACTTTGGGAGGCTGAGGAGGGCATATCACCTGAGGTCAGCAAGACCAGCCTGGCCAACATGATGAAACCTCATCTCTACTAAAAATACTGAAATTAACTGAGCATGGTGGCAGGTTCCTGTATCCAGCTGCACAGGAGGCTGAGGTAACGCAGGAGGTGGAAGTTGCAGTGAGCCAAGATCACGTCATTGCATGCCAGCCTGGGTGACAAGAGCGAGGCTCCATCACAAAAAAAAATTTTTTTCTTTTACAAAGAAACAATGTTAAGTGATGGGTTCTCTCACCCATGAAAAATGTATGCTTCTTATTTATCAATCTGAAAGTTATAATAAGCGAATTCTCTAGTTAAAACAACTTTTTTCAGTTCATTAAAAAATAAAATTTTTCTCATTAAAACCTATAAAGTACCATGTGAAATGCCATGGCATAAAGACACCAGGGAGAAAACTGTTGCCATAACACAGTAAAAGAAGGAAGCTGTAATGTATATAATATAACCTCTATGATAAGACATATACTAAGCCAAACAAAACAGGATAATTAGAAAACAAAAGCCAAAGTTCTCTTTAAATTCAGGAAGAGTCAGCTTGGCAGCCTAGACAAAAATGCCCGCTCCACATGAAAAATCAATGTTATTTCTTCACCAGTGATATTTTTAGCTCTGATTTGAAGTTAGAAACTAACTCCGGCAGGAATATTTATGGCTTATGATGGATCATCTGTGACACAGGAAGTGCTTTCATATTTGTGTGCTACATTTATAGATTTACATCCTCATGACTTATGACGTCTCCCTAGTGCTTACCTCAGCAAATCGGATCAATAGATTTACTTGCCGCTAATAAAAAGTGAAAGAAACAGTAACAAAAAAAAGTAGGCTTATATAAGGTTCTCCAACGAATAAAATAAAATGCAATGTTCTAACTAAATATGCAAACTAATACCCTAATTTTGGAATTATATCTAAAAATTATTTTGTGTGCATGATTCAATTTTATAAAAATTATTATAATCCCTGACCAGCTCCCATAATGAATACTCCATAAACTACACAACAAAAAATATGTAAAACACACAATAAAATTATGGGCCTAGCCTGAGTACCAGGTACCATAAACCCTAAAATTTTACACTAATACATTCCATACAGAGAGTACAGATTTGCTTTCAGCATTTTTGAGTTCTTTTTGTTTTCTAGTAAATTACCCACCTTATTAAAATGATTCCTTCTGTTCCAATAGTGCTCTTTTCTTCAGAAAACAGATAGATTCACATCAAGACACTTAATAACTGTGTAATTTTCTTACATCTAAAATTTATCTTTGGAACAATACATGTGTATATTTAACTCTATGTAAATCAAAACTAAAAGTCTGTGTGTGTTTGCATGCAGAGGCCAGTTCAAAAAATATATGTTACAAATATCTGAAAATGTTTAAGAGTCAGAAATGAGTTGATTTTATTTCTACTTATACATAATTTTTATGACCATAAAAATAATCATGTAGTCAATGACAATTTTATTGTACATTTTAAAATAACTAAAAGTATATAATAGTTGTTTGTAATATAAAACATAAATGTTACAAGTGATGGTTACATAATTTACCCTGATCTAATTATATATTATATGCCTGTATAAAAATATGCCAGATTTGCATAAATATAAATACATATTATGTTTACCCAAAATATAAGAAAAATAAATTTAAATAACTAAAAAAGACAAATATTTAAACTATGGAAACAATATTAACTTATCTGCTGGTTAAAACTACTGGCAAAAGAGATTACTTGAGATGCTATTCCACTACGTTACCAAATAATATACTGCTACCACCATTTACCTACACCCATGAGTAAGGTGGGATAGGTTAAAGTTAGTAGCATAATGCTTCATTAAACACACAATAGTCTTAACATGGTAAAAAATATATATTAAAATTAAATTTACACATAATCTAAAAATTTGGGAGGCTGAGGTGGGCAGATCTCTTGAGGTGAGGAGTTTGAGACCAAGCTGGACCACATGGTGAATCCTCGTTTCTACTAAAAATATAAAAATTAGCTGGGCATAGTGGCACTCACCTGTAATCCCAGTTACTCGGGAGGCTGAGGCAGAATCACTTGAACCGGGAAGGTGGAAGTTGCAAGTGAGCCAAGATTTTGCCATTTGCACTCCAGCCTGGCGACATGGTGATACTGTCTCAGAATAAATAAATAAAATACACACACACACAAAATTGCCAGGGATGCTGGTATATGCGTGTAGTCCCAGCTACTCAGGAGGCTGTGACAGAACTGCTTGAACCCAAAAGTGCAAGTTGGCAGCAAGCTGAGATCACGCCACTGCACCCCAACCTGGGTAACAAAGTGAGACTCTTTCTCAAAAAAAGAAAAAAAAAAGTACACTTTGAATGTAATTATAACTTTGCAAAATATCTTGTTCTTTTTGAAGTTACATACAAATAATTTATCTGACAACTTTAGTTTTACTTTCTATACTGAGCACTTTTAGTGTAATGTCTGAACGGTTTATTAGTTATTTGTACCTTACATTGTTATTTACAGACTCAATTTTGAATGAAATATTTTTTTCATGCTTATTGCATATGCAAAAATATATCTTAGAAATATATCCAGTGTTTTCTAAGCTATAGTTTGTGGGGAAAAAATGTTTTTCCAAATTTTTACATTTGCTGGATTTTTCTTCAATATAGATTTTTTGATGTTGAACAAAGTTTGTACAACTGGTTCAGGGTTTTCCTTTAGTAAAAAATGTGTACAATAACATCTATGATACAAGTAAAGACACTGCAACCCTCTTATATTATAATGCTTTTCCTCAGAATACATAGTTTCCCTTCACTTTTAAGGCTTATATTTTCTAAAAGATTGTTTTTTCTTTTAGAGACAGGGTTTCACCATGTTGGTCAGGCTGGTCTCAAACTCCTGACCTCAGGTGATCCACCAGCCTCAGCCTCCCAAAGTGCTGGGATTACAAACGTGAGCCACTGCGCCCAGCCTCTACAAGAATGTTTGACAGTGATTGCCTTTACAGTGCTCTTAGTAAGTATCAACTCTCTGTTATTAGGAAGTGAGCAGATATTAATGGCTTTTCCACAATTTTTAAAATTTATACACGTTTTTTCAAGTATTAATGGTTTTCTGAACAATAAGGTGTGAGCATTGGTTAGCAGTTCTGCCACATTCTTCACATTTGTAAGGTTTCTCTCTATTATGAACTTCCTTATGTTTAGTAAGTCTTGAAGACCGGGTAAAAGCTTTGCCACATTCTTCACAGCTGTAGGGCTTCTCTCCAGTATGAATTTTCTTATGTTGAGTAAAGTCTTGAGAACCGGTGAAAAGCTTTGCCACACTCTTCACAGCTGTAGGGTTTCTCTCCAGTATGAATTTTGTTATGTCGAGTAAGTCTGGAAGACAGGTTAAAGGCTTTGCCACATTCTTCACATTTGTAGGGTTTCTCTCCAGTATGAATTCTCTTATGGCTAGTAAGGTGTGAGGACCGGTTAAAGGCTTTGCCACATTCTTTACTTTTGTAGGGTTTGTCTTCAGTATGAATTATCTTATGTTTAGTAAAGGTTGAGGATATGCTAAAGGTTTTGCCACATTCATTACATTTCTAGGGTTTCTCTCCGGTATGAATTCTCTTATGGGTAGTAAGGGTTGAGTAGTGGTTAAATGCTTTGCCACATTCTTTACATTTGTAGGGTTTCTCTCCAGTGTGAATTCTCTTATGGTTAGTAATGGTTGAGGACTGATTACAGGCATTGCCAAATTCTTTACATCTGTAAGTATTCTCTCTAACATCAATTACCTTATGTTGAGTCAGTTGTGAAAGCCTGCAAAATAATTTGCCACATTTTTTACATTGGAAAGGTTTCTTTCCAGTATGTCCTATCTTATATCTACCTGAATTTAAAAATGTATAAAGAAGTTGTACATAAATATCACATTGATACATTTTGTTCTGGGTTGGTGTCAAACATTGGTTAGGAGCAGTGTAACGTCCTTTGTGTAGCTGCCCATTACCTACAGTTTCACAGCCTTTTCTTAACTGTAAATTCTCATGTCCACATTTATCATATCTCCTCAGTGTCACTTTCTGGAAAGAATCTTTTATGTCTTGCTCTGGCAAAAGGTCTTCAGCAAAATGAGAACATGTAACTAAAAAAAAAAATTAGAACAACAAATTACTTCACTTACTAGTCTCAGATATATATACTTTACAAATGTAACCTCTAAAATTATATAAACTACATGAGCAACACGGCACAGCAAAATACCAGACTCTAATTTCTTCATAAACATCTATAAATGTAACAAAGACATACTGACCAAAATATATTTGCGGATAATGTATAAATAAATGTGTGCAGTGCCACAGCTGAATACAATGCAGAGAGTCACACAGAATGAAAAAAAATGTTCTGTTACACCCACCCAACACAGATTATGATAGACCATATTTACCAAATGCCCTCTATTTACATCAATATTATATTAGCATACGCCTGTTCCCCAGTAAAACATAGTGCCTCTAGAAGTAAACTGCCAACTCCTGGTTTTCTTTTTAAAAGACAAGAAATAAATTGGCACATACATCTTTATTTCTGGCTTCTAGGGATATTACCAGAGGCTGGTTTTAGTTTCCCATGACATAAAATGCTGAAAGAAATAGTGGCATACATTGCAATGACAATTTGAGTCTGCTGAGACCAAACAGCGGAGAGACTGCAGTACCACAGATAGGGAACAGGTGTAGAAAGTGACCACTGACTATTAAGATGAAACATGAATACACTTCTCTTTTTTTTTTTTTTTTTTTAAAGTAAGACGGGGTTTCACCATGTTGGTCAGGCTGGTCTTGAACTCCCAACCTCAGGTGATCTGCCTGCCTTGGCCTCCAAAGTGCTTGGATTACAGGCGTGAGCCATCATGCCCAGCCAAATACACTTCTTTAACTAAAAAATAAAAACAAAGTTTCAGATAAGACACATGCTAACAACATATTTGAGAGACTGCCAGAATCTCTAACCAAGACAACTGATTCCAGACTATGCAGAACAGAGCTGCATTATCAAGATTGTGAGAGCTTTTTTTTAAATGTCTAAATCTCCATCGAAGACTGAAACATGGAAAATATTAGGTCACCATGGCCCCATCAAAAAATTTCCAAAATTTTTAGAAAGCAAAACCATTAAAAAATAGAGATAAGCCGGGTGTGTGGCTCACACCTGTAATCCCAGCACTTTGGGAGGCCAAGGCAGGTGGATCACCTAAGGTCTGGAGTTCGAGACCAGCCTGACGAACATGGTGAAATCCCATCTCTACTAAAAATACAAAAAATTAGCTGGGTGTGGTGCTGCATGTCTGTAATCCCAGCTACTTGGGAGGCTAAGGCAGGAGAATCACTTGAACCCAGGAGGCAGAGGTTGCAGTGAGCCGAGATTGCATCATTGCACTCCAGCCTGGGCAACAAGAGCAAAAACTCCACCTAAAAAATAGAGATTCATAGATTAATTTTTAATATTTAAGATAAATATGGGCATTGAGGCAGGTGGATCACTGAGGTCAGGAGTTTGAAACCAGCCCGTCCAACATGGCAAAACCCCATCTCTACTAAAAATACAAAATTAGCCGGGCATGGTGGTGCATTCCTATAATCCCAGCTACTCAGGAGGCTGAGGCAGGAGAATCACTTGAACGTGGGAGGCAGAGGTTGTAGTGAGCCAATTTCATGCCACTGCACTCCAGCCTGGGCAACAAGAGCAAAACGCCATCTCAAAAAAAAAAAAATTAAGATAAATCAAATACCACTGAGGAAAATAGAAACATAACCTACGATTGAATATCAGAAAAAGGAGGATAACAAAAATACTAACATTGTTACGGAAACAAAAATTGTAGAGATAAAAATATAAATGAAAAATTATAAAAGTAAAAAAATATAAAAATGAAGTTCAGCAAACTAGGATATACACAGAAGATATTTATAACAAAAACATATATAGCACAATTGCAAAAGGCACAGACAAGAGAATCTTAGAAGCTGCAAGACAAAAGTGATGTGTCATTTACAAGCATAGTCTTATATAATAACCAGTGAATCTGTCGGCAAGAACATTTCAGGTTAGAAGTAAACTGTGTGATAGTCTCAAAATCCTGAAGAAAAACAG